AGAAAAAAGGAACAAAAAAACGGGGGGCACAGGGCTTGCTCGCGTGGACGGCCATTTGTTCTGAACCCCCCAAAAACCCCCATACCCCAGATTGCCCATGCCAGTAATTACCAGCAGCGCTAACTAACTACTGCATGTACAGATTTAGTTATGTTTACGAATACCAGCCTGTATGTTTATTAGCTACTCATGCAAGCCCAGTGCGAGACAAATTTCTCAAAGAGAAAGCAGAAACCTTTACGATAAAGGAGGGGGGTGTGCATCCTACAATGTTCCCCTACAAATGTGTCCCCCCCCCCCCCCCCCTTGTGCAGAATGTAGGGCGACGCAGCGCTTCGAGTTGTGACCAAGGGCCAAGTTCATGCACATGAGCTTAAGTCGTAGGAGATATAGTTAGTCGACTGTAGCATTTTGTTTCTTTAGCGCATGTGCGCCGAAGCGTTTCTCATATCGGCACCGCCTAAATTACGCCTGCCAAAAGGGACGTCTATTCATGTTTCCCCCCCTTGCTTGAAAGAGGGATGCCTGAGGGTAAGGCGTGTGTATTGAGCGCTGACGGCCAAGCACCGGAATCCATCTATACGAAACACCATTGTCGTCTATCCGCGCGCCCGTTCTTTCCAAACCACAACCATTTTCTTAGAAAACCTTAGAATAACTGAATAATGGTAGTAGAAGTTCATATGTACACGTAACGTACTCTGTACTTGTGCACAAAAAGACAAAAGCCCACACCCCTGAGTTCTGGGGTGGCGCCGGCGGGCGGGCGCGCTGCTGCTGCTGCTGCTGCTGCTACTGCTGTTTCAACAGACGGCGTCATCATCATACAGGAGGATGAAGAAAAAAAAACACGGCGCGCGCGCGCTTTTGGTCCTATGACATGCCACTTACACGATAACCTTATGTTACTTGCTGCTGAAGAGTTCAGCCAGCCCCTCTCCCCCCCCTTCTCCGTTTCCGAAACACTGTCTCTCCTGTTTAGCAATCACCACCGAGTCTTGGAGTCTGACAAGCTGCAGTTTTGCCAGCAAGGTAAAAAGGACCATGAACTTTGTTATGGCTCAACAGAAGCAGCGGATTGGTCCGTTGACGTCCGAGCCAATGTAAGTTATTGATCACCGGGACATTCGCAATGCAAGGCCTCGCTGGCGCCTCGCGTCTTGCAGAACTTTGGGGTGGGTGTGGCGTGGCCCCCTTGATTTTTTTCTCCAACAAGGCCCAAGCCAACAATGTTTTTTATTTATTTTTTTTCTTGGGTAATATTCGTAACTATGTACTGGTACAGTAGTTTCTCGCTGCAAGCCCTCTGTCTCTCTGTCTCTGTCTCTGTCACTCTTCTTTTTTCCCGCCTCGTCCTCACTGCCGGCTTATACCAGTCAGTACACGTGGCTCGCCTCGCAGCAGCGCAGGCTCCCCCGCCGCCTTGACGGAAACCGTAGCCCTACTTTATTTATTGTTTTTTCTTTCTTCGTTTGTTTTTACTTTGATTTGCATGGCGAACACGCAACTGTTTCGTTTTCGTGTTCTAATTCAGGAAGAACCTTGCTTTCTGTCATTTTTGATATCCGTCCCTCCGTTCATACTCGGGGCGGAGAGACGGAGCGAGAGAGAGAGGGAAGGAAGGAAAGAAAGAGCATCTGCCAACCCGCCTCCGCCCACGGGTATGCCCGTTTCTAGCGCCCACGGCCCCTCTTCACCCGTTGGCCTTTTTCTTTTTGGTGGCTTGACGTTTTGTCAAGGCTGAACCTTTTTGGACGCGTGATGATGTGTTTTTGTCTTTAGACATGGCCGTTGGAGCAAGGATGATGGGATACGCGCAGCGAGACAACCAGCAGTGACTTGCTGCAAAGAAAAAAAAGGACCAGCAACTACGGATACCGTACAAAGACATTTGCCAATGCATGCATGCATGCGCTGCAGCATCATCTTCATCACCGTCATCATCACCATCATCGCCATCATCATCGCCTCCATCATCATACATCATTATACTCTCGCCTCTTGTGTCCTCCGCCCCCGCTCCCACCTCCGACCGACAAGTAACGCCCAACATGATCAATTCAGCTGAGCCTTGTGAGCAACGCCATGGATGACTAGTCTCAGCGTATAGCCTATTCCTCTTCCACCGAGAATTGCACAGCGAAACCCCATCTCGGCCTCTTTGCACCCCCAGATCGACCTCTCAAAATGTCTTGGTCATGTCTCCTTCCAACCCCGCGCGGGGCCCCTTGTCTAATCCGTACCTACGTGGCCTGGTTCATTGGGCACAAATGTGCAATCGCGCCGCAATGACAGCCTCGGGCTGCTTTTCTCCCTGGCCGACAGATACCTTCATCACGCCCCTCCAAACCATGCAGCCTAGGCCTTGCATATGTCCTACTCGTGCAGCATGCAGTCATGACTACAGTAGCCTCGAATCAAGTCCCCCAACCCCGCGAAAGCTTCATGTCCCCTATTGAAAGTAGATGTCCGTCAAAGACACTGAAATGTCTAGCTTGGACTCTGTTAGCAGATATCTGGGCTGGATTCTGTTCAGTAAATGTCTGGCTCTGATTTTGCCAGCAACACACTGACGTTCAAATCGTATGATTTGCCCGCATGTATAGCCTGCACCGCGCTGTAACAGAGCCCTGCGGCTCCCCTCTTGCGCTGCCCTTTCTTGTGCACTGATGCTAACGGGATCGTAGTTGCTCAATGACTCCAGCTACTCCGTGGATTAACTAGTCCGCCCGTTGTGCCTAGCCGACGACCCAAGATAAGCAATGGTTCAGATGAGCGCAGCCAAGACATGGTCCCTCATGTAAGCAAGACGTTGTGTGTTTTTGCTCTCCTCAGAGGCACATGGCACCGAGCAAGTCTCATCTGCAAGTCTTGAAAGGGCTGAAATTCGGACAAGAGCGAGACTCGCTGCATCGAAAACCGGGGGGACCCTGGTTTAATTTATCGGCAAAGCCGCAGTTGGCGACCTTTTCACTCCCCATGCATTCTGCATTCCGCAGCGGACTGCTGTCCTGCGGGCAGTTTGCCTCAACCGAGCGATGCACTGTTCGCGAAAGCCCAACGGTCACAACTCGCACATTGACAAGGACTTCAGCCATGTTTCCCCCCACTCCCATGTAGCTGCGCGATGAACGCTGATGCACTCTTTTTTGCGCGACGATGGGCCAGCGCTTTAGGGTAGGCCTTTGCCATGCACGGTGACGAACCACGGGCATGAAACAGCAGAGGAGGGGCGTGCAAACGATCATCATGCGCTGCCCTTCGCCGAAATGGGCGTCCAACCATGGCCAATTGCATGAAATTTGGCTCAATTGACGGCCCCTTTACAGTCAGGCCAAAGGCCACTTGTGAGGCGTCTCCTCGATCCCCCGCGACAGAAGCAACGCTGGCATCGTGAGCACAACAACAACGCGCGGCATCCCACCGAGAATAAAGAAGAGGAAGAGGAAGGGACTCGCGTGATCCAAGTCTCGTAACTGAGACGCAGACCGCATTCCATTGCGTCAAAACTTTGCAAGACGTGGCAATTCGAAACCTGCACACCCGAAAAAGTCGCTTTCGCACAACGAGAAGGATTCAATTCATGGTGTGATGGGATGGCTACCGAGTATTTGCTTTCCTCGCCTGTGGCATTTCTTGCCCAGAAAACACGCTATTTCTGCATATTCGCTTGGTTGCAAGTGTCTCTACGTGCAGGTTCGGGCTGCTTCAATTACGAATATATCACGCATGCTGTGAGAAAACCTCATTTCCCGCCTCACGCAATAGCTCATGAGCACCTATCTCCAGGGATACAAGTCAATTTTATGCATGCAGCATCGCCTTTCCCCCATCGCCGAAATGTTACACAGATCGTAAAGTCAGGGAAAAAAAATATAAAGAGAAAAATCCCGGAATAATTCATGAGCTAGTTTGTCCGTCCTGTGCCCTCGACGGGCTGCCGCAAACTTGGCTTTTTTGTACAACACATGCATATTATTTATCCCTCAAGGCGTTGCGTTGCGTTGTGTTGCAAAGGCCACTATCAGGTCGCAATTGGCTGGTAGCAATCCCTGTTACATCGCGACTGCAACCGCACAGATGGGTTTGGACGGACCGTTGGAGTAGCATCCAGCAGAGACAAAAAAAAGGGATATCCTCCTCTTGTCCACGTCTAACTAGCCATGTAGCTACTAATTCGTAATCGGCCCTCCGTGTCCAGCCTCGGATATCCGCCCCCAATCTCCTGCTCTTATTTCCCGTTTGATGGACGATCCGTGTTGGAACCCCCCCATGTTATACCATATTTTGCAAGTGATTCCATATTCTGATTCAATAGTGCGCCCAAAAAGTAAAACAAAAAAAGATTTACCTTTTCAAAGCAACGCACACGTCACAACTCACCTGCATGGGACTAGCCGGTGAAGAAAAAGTTGTCCAAGGAAAAAAGAGACAAAAACATGTCATATTTTTTTCCTTTGATGCAACAAAAAAGGAGAAACAGAATGGACAGCAAAAAAGAGACGAATGCAGACTTGTCGCTTTTCTCGGGGCAAATAAGAAATAAAAATATAAAATATATTAAAAACAGCCTCGTCGTGCAACACGAGCTGTCACCATCCCGCCGTGACAAAAGGACAGCATGCGCCAAGCCAATGCGGCCGCGATTCTCAGCCTTGTGCAACCCCCCATTCCCCTCTTCTCAGCTTCAGGTGGTCCGTTATTCATGGCTTGCTATTATCAGATGAGGGTTTTTTTTTTCCCTTTCTTTCATTGACTCTCTCTTGTCCATAGGGGGTAAAGTGGTCAAGCCGGCCCATTACCTTGCCGCCCCAGACTTCATTACTCGCAGTTTCAAATAGCTCTCTGTCCAAGTCAAGACAGAATAAGAAAAGTGTCCTCAATTTTTGTCGTGAAAAAAAAGTCTATTCAGATTTCTTGTTGCCACGAAATGGCACATCATTGGAAACACTAAAAGCGTACATTATCATCTTTGATAAAAAGAAAAGAATAAAGAATGCCTATGCAGAGAGTGGCTTCTTGGCCCGAATCTCGCGAATCGTATCACGCGTCCTTGCATTCTCCTCAAAGCTCGCCTTGATCAGATCCACAACCTCGTCCACCGTAAAGTAGAGACTCAGCTCGCTGTCGCACCATAGATACTTGACCTCGTTCAGGTTGCTCTGCAGAACCTCGCCGAGGTACTTGAGACGCAGCCAGCTTGGCGCGTACTGCGCCGTCGCCGGCACCTCGTCCTCTGTGGGCGCCGTGTCGCTGAGCTTGCTGGGCAGAAAGAGGTCGTCCAGCTCCGTCGCCGCGGAGATGAGCTTGGCAATGTTGTAGGCTTCCTCCTGGCCAATGGAGCTCATTTCGAGCACGTCGCTAATCAGACGCATGGCCAGCGTGTCCACGAGCGATCCAATAGCCTGCGACCAGACAGATCGTGCAAGAATCGTTTCCCAGGTGCTGGCCATGGTTCGTATGCGTGCTGTCCCGGCTTCCACAGCTGCCTCCATCTCGTCCTGCTGCAGCAAGCTTTGCGAGTCGCCCAACAGATCTTGCAATACCGTCCGTTGAATGCTCATCTCGGCAGCGTAGCTGCGGTTCGCAAAGCTCTGCAACGTCTTGATATCGTTGTCGAGGCGTAGCATGGCTTTTGCTCGGGGTGTCACGTCTTCGCGTTCCTTCCAGTTGGCACTGAATTCCCCGAGCTTTTCAGCCAGATACATTGCGTCATTGTACAAATACCTGTTGCTCTTTAGTAAACATCTTGCATGGATATTATGCCAACGTACATGTTGCCTCCTACTTCAAGAGAGTAGTAATGAGGCGAGATTGCTCGGAATAATGCCAAAGCAAAAGTTGGCAGGCCAAAGAGACCTGGTGCCGTTCCAGCCACGAGACTGAACTTTTCATCCTCTCTTGTTAGGGCCAATCCATCGTCCAGTACTGAAAAGATGAGTTCCAAGACGGGCTCTGGCATGGAGGAGATGCTATATGTTTCCTTGAGAATGAGCTCGCGCGTTTCGTCGGCTCGTAGCCTTGACTTGGCGGCCACTTTGGCAGGCTTTGGCTGGACGGCTCTTGGCTCTGGCCCAGACTCAGTAGCTGCATCGTCATCCCATCCCCAAGCGTCGGCGCCGTCATCCCCCGCCATGTCGGCCTTGGCACTCTCTTGGTTTTCATCTGCACCCTCGCCCCAACCGCCCCAGGCGTCGGCGCCGTCATCTTCTTCCATCGGTGTATCTTCAGTAGCTTGAGTTGTCTCGACTGCTGGCTCTTCTTCGTTCCAAGCAGCCCCCCAATCATCGTTCCAATCGGCAGTATCTGCCGCGGCGCCAGCGCCCGTAGTAGCAAGCTCCTTGCCTTCGGCAACAGTAACCATGTGCTTTTCAATCTTTACAACCTGTTTGGGGTCTCCGATACCACCCGTGAACCTGTTCCGTACACTATCAAGGGCTGTATCGCGACATTTTCCAAGCCAAGTCATGGGCGCCTTTTCAGCCCACGTAGAGATTCGTTCCAGGCCAGTGTAGCCATTTTCGCTCAACGCTGTGCAGAACTGTTGTGTTCGTTGGATGACGTGCTGGAAAGTGTCCATGTTTTGGAGTGATGAGGGCACGGCCTTGTCGAGCCAGTCGTCGATGAGTTTCGGTATTACATCTGCAACCATTTGGCTGGAGAAGCTGGGTAATAGATCAGCCGGAAGCTTCTTCGCAACAAACAAGAAGACGGTCTCGAGGTCTGTTAGCAGGTTATCTATGGAGTGATCTGTTGGTTCGGAGAAGCTGAGTTCGTTGGCATTGGCGGCAATGCTCTTTAACGAGGTGGCTTGGTAGTCCATGCGGGGGGAGACGATGGACGTGTCGAGGTTATGCCATAGCTGTTCTAAGCGCTCATCAACTTCCTTGTATGCTTTCAGCCCAGTGGAAGCATCTGCAAGGGTCATGCTGCCGTCTTCAGATGTGTCGCGAATGGTAATTTTGCACGAGTCGACGTCAACGTTGACCATGGATTTCCATATTTGATTGAACACTTGGTAGGCCGACGACTTGAGCTCAAAGGCACGAATGTCGAGAAGTCGCATAACGCGACTTGACCGCGCTGCGTTGACATTGCCCAAGGCAGTTCGTGACTCTTCCAGAAGGCGCAGAGATTCCAGAATGCGCTTCTCGGCAAGTGCCTGCTCGGCCTGCATTAGCAGCGCATTGACTCCCTTGATGCTGTGCAGGACTTGGTGCAATTGCTGACTATACTGGACCTCACGATTTATGAATTCGACCTTTCCTTCTGCATCGAGGATAGCTTCGCCAGATACGTCGGGCGCCTCGGACTGGCGAGTGATTTCGTTTGCCATGGTCTTGGAGCGGATGATGTCTTCCTGGAGCGACTTCGCATTTTTGGCCCAGACACTGACGTCATCTTTCGTCTCTTCATTTATTTGATGTATCTCGGCCTATGGGTCGATTAGCCTCTGCTGCGCTTTGCGGCCAGCGGCGGCGCCATACCTCGAGCTCTACCCCTGCCTGGGTCAGACTATCAATGGCGGGCTGCAGATCGGTGCCTGAGACGGGCGGCAAGGTGTCGGCGTCTTCTGGAAAGCGTCCATTGAGAGCAAATGCTATGATGGCATCGCCAATCTTGACTGGGTCCATTGTGGCAGCCATGGTGTCGTGTCTGTTTGCCCAGGGTGTGTCGAGGAGCCCGGAAGCTCCAAAGAGGCAACGACTGTCACCCGGCCCGCCTGTTGTTGTAGCTGGTGATCCCTCTAGTATCGAACTAGTTCACAGGCATGGCTAAGGCCGCGATCGGTGGTTATGGCCCTTCACCGGTGGCGCTGTTCAGTGGTCGGGTTGTGCAAGCTGTCAATTTCAGGACAGCTTGTGAGGTCATCCAGACATAGCTAGCCTAACGAGGCGCGTAGGCCATGTAGCCGTCAAAGCTTAATTGGGTTTAGCGTCTTTTGACCAATGGCCGCAGTGCGTTGCACCCCACCATGCGTCTCGACTTCGAAATAATTGATGCGCATGCTGTGAATCATACTCTTGACTCACACACCTCACTTACAGTAGAAATATTGTTGTCTACGCTGTTTGACGCTGATTCCCGTACGTGTGACACCATATGACAGTGACGACAAGCCGTTGCTCTTTCGCGCAGTGTTCTTCACCAGGCGTTCCCTTGTTTGCTACCCCGCCATGCGCCCGCCATACTAGTTCTTCACGTAAATTGGACAGCACCTAACCTTTGACCTAGCATACCAATTCCACAGCAAGGTCAACCGCCAAAAGATTGATGGTGCGCTCGTATCGAGAAGAGATATTTATCAGGACCCTAGCTTTTGGTACGTGCTGCGTGAGTGCTCTGCTGGCAATCTCCAGGGATCGGGTAGACACAATTAACTCTTCGTAGATAGATAGCTCCCGACACGATGCCTTCCGAGAAACGCCAGACCGGGTTTAAAAAACTCCAAAGCTTCGAGACTGACTATGCGCCCTGCACAATTACCCAGTATGTCTCCGAACGCAGTGGCATGCAAGTTGTCGTTGCCGACCGCAAAGGGCCCAAGGTCAACGGCTACTTCACGCTAGCTACCGAGATTCTCGACGACTCTGGTGCTCCCCATACTCTGGAGCATCTCATCTTCCTCGGATCCAAAAGCTACCCCTACAAGGGTCTATTGGACAAGCTTTCATCGCGCGCATACTCTGGTACCAACGCCTGGACCGCCACCGACCACACTGCCTATACACTGGAAACCGCAGGCTGGGAAGGCTTCTCGCAGATTCTACCCCTGTACCTTGAACACGTTCTACTTCCTACCCTTACTGATGAGGGTGTCGTGACAGAGGTTTGGCATATTGATGGCGAGGGCAATGATGCTGGTGTCGTTTACTCGGAAATGCAGAGCGTCGAAAACAATGGCCCCGAAATCATGGATCTCAAGGCTCGGCGCCTCCTTTATAACAAGAATATTGGCTTCCGCTATGAGACAGGTGGTATGCCTGGTGCTCTTCGTATTCTCACCGCCGACCGAATCCGCGAATTCCATAAGGATATGTACCAGCCTCGCAACCTCTGTGTCGTCATTGTTGGCGAGACGGACCACAATGATCTCCTGCAAAAACTCGATGATTTTGAAGACAGTATCGCTGATGAGATTCCTGCTCTCAACACTCCGTTCAAGAGGCAAGTTGACACGTATCGTGATTCACGGATACCATACTAACTTATGCAAGACCCTGGGTGGACTCCGAGCAGCCTCAAGCCTTGACAGAAACCATTGTGACTACTGCTGAATTTCCTGACGATGATGAATCGACTGGCGAGATTCTTGTTGGCTTCTTTGGCCCCAACTGCGTCGACCTCATTGCCACATCTGCTCTCAACGTCGTTCTTACCTATCTCTGTGGTTCTTCCGTATCGGTACTCGAGAACATCATGGTCGAAAAAGAAGAGCTGGCTAGCTCCGTTTCACACTGGTGGGATTCTCGTCCCAACTCTGTCGTCTGGCTGCAGCCTACGGGCGTCGAGGCGAGCAAGCTCGAGTTCGTGGAGAAGCGTCTTTTCGAAATTCTCAAAGATGTCGCCTCTAAGCCTCTGGACATGGAATACATGACCGAGTGCATAAAGAGAGAGAAGCGGCAGGTTAAGTACCATGCCGAGAACTCGGAATCATTCTTCTCCACCAACATCATTACAGACTACCTCTTTGGTAAGCGCGACGGCTCTACGCTTAAAGATCTCGAGAGTCTGCACGAGTACGCCGTCTTGGAGAAATGGTCGGACCAGGAATGGCGCGACTTTATCAATAAGTGGTTTATTGACGCTCATCATATCTCCATCCTTGGAAAGCCCTCTGTTGAGCTCGCTGAAAAGACAAAGAAGGCGGAGGAAGAGCGTGTCGCAAAGCGCAAGGCAGAGCTAGGCAAGGATGGACTTGAGAAGCTCGCCACGAAGCTCAAGGCCGCTCAAGAAAAGAATGACCAGCCTATCCCGCCCGATGTCCTTGACCAGTTTGAGGTTCCTGGTACCGATTCTATACATTTCATAGAGTCCGACACAGCTCGCTATGGCAAGGCCAAGGCAATTGGTGCAGGCACTGGTGCCACTCAGGGTGTCATTGATGCAGCTCCAACTGGCAAGCTGCCTCTGTTCATACAGTTCGAGGATGTTCCGACCAGCTTTGTCCACATCACCATTCACCTCGGCACCTCGAAGGTGCCGGTTGAGCTAAAGCCTCTGATGCCCATCTTCTCCGATAACTTCTTCAACACCCATATTATGCGGGACGGCAAGCTCGTCAACTTTGAGCAAGTAGTCATGGAGCTTGAGCGAGACAGCGTCGGTTACGGCCTTGGTTCCGCACGACTGCTCGGCGACCCCGAAGGCATCGCTATCCAGTTTCAGATTGAGCCCGACAAGTATGCGGCCGCTGTGGAATGGATACGGACCATGATGTTCGACTCCGTCTTTGACCCGCAGAGGCTCAAGGCCGCCGTCTCCAAGGCACTGGCCGACATTCCCGAATCCAAGCGCAACGGTCAAGGCATGGCCGCGGAGATTGACGCTGCCATCCATTTGGATCGCTCGAGTGTGACCGTCGCAAAGCGCGTCCTGGTGCGCGCCGTCTACCTCAAGCGCCTCAAGAAACTTCTTAAGAGCGACCCCGATAAGGTCGTATCCTGGTTCAACACAATCCGCGCTTCACTCTTTACCTTTGAAAACCTTCGCTTCCTCGTTGCCGCACGCATCTCCACACTACCCGACCCCATCACGACCTGGGACAAGCTCGCCGCGGCTCTCAGCAGTGAGCCCAAAGAGATGATTCCCGTCCCAGCGCTATCCGCACTTCTCAATGACGAGGGCCGCAAGCCGGGCTCCGTCGGCGCCACCATTGTGCCCATGGCATCCCTCGACGGCTCCTTTAGCGTCAGCACAACCGCCGGCCTGTCGTCCTACGCCGACCCGCGCCTGCCCGCCGTCATGGTCGCCATCAGCTACCTCGAGCAGGTTGAGGGCCCGCTGTGGGTGGCTGTCCGCGGTGCGGGCTACGCCTACGGCACGCACTTTTCGCGCAGCATCGACGCCGGCGTCTTGTGCTACCGCGTGTACCGCTCCCCCGACGCTGCCAAGGCCATTACCGCTTCTCGCGAGGCCATTCGCAAGATTGCCGACGGCGATGTACCCATCGACAAGCACCTGCTTGAGGGCAGCGTCTCGCAGATTGTTGTCACCTTTGCCGACGAGCAGTCGACCATGCCGAGCGCCGCGCAGCAAAACTACATTCAGGGCGTCGTGCGCGGGCTGCCCAAGGAATGGAGCAAGGAGATTTTGCGCCGCGTGCGTGCCGTCACAGAAGAGGAGATGAGAGCGGTCATGACGGAAGTCATTCTACCGTGCTTTGCCCCGGGGAAGAGCAACGTGACCATCACCTGCGCCAAGATTATGACCGAGGTACGTAGCGGAATGTCAGCGGCGAAAATAGGAAATCAAGCTAACGAGGGCTACAGAATATGGAAGCGTCCATCAAGGCGATGGGGTACAAGGTGCAGACGCGTGAGCTTAGCGACTTTCATGATGATTACGGCCTCGCGGCGCCGGAAGGTGATAGCGAAGAGGATGACGAAGAGGATGACGATGATGAGGAGGATGACGATGATGATGAAGAGGATGACGATGAAGATGACAGCGATGAGGGCGAGTCTGATGAGGAGTAGCAGAGACTATATCGTTGAAAACTTTAGATGCCAATCTCGCAAGACAGGATACAATACAATCCCATACATTGGAGAAACAAACATGACGTGAACGAAATCAAGTTGGTGAATTTAGACGTACAAGCGCGTGCGACATTACCTGATGCATTTTTTGAACTGTACAAATCAATTGAAATAAATTTTTCAGACGCACATGGGCGTGCGACACAACCTGATGCATCTCGCTGGACTCTTCATGCCTATATTCCAAGCAACATCCTATCATGTGGGACTTTTACAAGCATTCTAATGCAAATTTCCCGACGATTACACCATGTTCTGCTGTTTTACAGCTCCTCACGGCCAGAGGCCTTGACAACCTCCTCCTTGTCCTCGACGACAACCTTGTGGTCGCTCTCCCAGCCGAGGGCCTTGAGGCGCTCCGACAGGTGGGGGTGTGAGTAGTGGTAGCTGGCATACATCCAGTCGGCGTCCATGGTGCTGAGGTTCTGCTTGTGGAGTTTGATGAGAGCGGTGGACAGCTCTGACTTGAAGCCGAGGCCAAAGGCAAAGTCATCAGCTTCAAACTCAAACTTGCGGGAGAGCATGTTGAGGGCGAGCTGGAGGACTGTGTCCATGGGGGAGAGGGCATCGGAAAAGAGGATGAAGCCAATGACAATGGGATGGATGTTGTAGAAGCCAAAGGCGGAGTAGAGAGACTTGTTGTTGATGAAGACGGAGAAGAGACTGAAAATGTACAGCAGATTGATCTGAGAGATTCCAAAGAGACGGGTAGTGTGGCCGAGCTTCCAGTGGCCAAGCTCGTGGGCGAGAATGGCAAGCACCTCGTCCGTCTCACTCTTCTCGAGCAGGGTGTCGTAGATGACAATGTGCTTCTTCCAGGGAAGGCCGTAGAAGAAGGCGTTGGAGTGGGCGCTGCGCTTGCTGCCGTCAATGACATAGAGCTCCGAGAGGGGAAACTTGAACTTGTCGGCGAGGGCGTTGACTTTGGTCTTGAGCTCGCCGTCCTCGAGCGGGGAAAGCTTGTTGAAGAGGGGCTGAATAAAGATTGGGTAGGCGGTGATGGCGAAGAGCTGGATACCGGCAGCAAAGACCCAGAGATAAAATACGAAGCCAGTGCCCGTCTTTTGGATAATCTTGAGGAAGCCGGCCAGGATGGGCGGGACGACGACGGCGAGGATGAGGTTGGACTTGATCATGTCGGTGACAAAGAGCGCGGGGGTCTGCTTGTTGAAGCCAAATTGTTCTTCGAGGACAAAGGTGCTGTAGAGCTTGGCCGGAAGGCCGAGCAGCTGCTGGACGAGGATAAAGGTGAGGACAAAGACGATGGAGTGGCTGATTTCGCCCGAGAAGCGGGCGGGCGCGAAGCGCAGCAGCCAGTCGCCCGTCAGCGACCAGAGCTTGGGGAGAGCATCAAAATGGATAAAGGCAAAGTTTTGAATCTGCACCCAGAGGCCGCTGACGAGGCCGAACTGGGCCTTGGCGCGGCCGTAGGCCTGCGACTTGTCAAACGTGTCCTGCGGAATCTCCTTGGCGAGCACGGCGGGGGGCTTGGTCGCCTGCAGGATGCGGTACTGGCGAAAGGTGAGGAACGATTCGAAAATGTACTGGCCGACGGAGAAGCCGAGGAGGAGCTTCTTCCAGGGGAAGAGCGGGCGGTCGAGGATTTGCGCGAGGCGCTGGGAGGTGAGAAGTTGGGTTGTTAGCCTTTGAATTGTGCAACGCGCCGATGCGATGCGGTGCGATGATGGGGGAAGTCTCGGGGGCGTATGCGCCAATTGACCGAGTTAGGGAATGCGAGACATACCTGAAGAAAGTCCATGATGACGAGTGGGCTAGATTGGTAGCCGACGACGTCTGGACAAAGTGATGAAGAGGGGTTTTTTGGGGTGAAGGAGTGGCAGCTCTGTGAGATTATCAAGCTGTCAATGCGGCACACGGCAGGCCAGGTGTCCACTTGCTGTCGTGTTCCTGATTTTCCCCACACTTTTGGAGATGGTGATGCTAACAACGGCTACAAGAAGCGGAAGCAATGAAAATTCGAATTGAATACTTGCTCACTATTTTCAACATCAAGACCAACAAGGCGACAAATTCCGCCAAGAAATCACGAGGTTTGGAGTGTCTCTGTAGCTCGCAGGCGACGGTGTCTCGATGCAGAAGTTCCTTAGGCTATGGTGGGATCGACAGACTCAGCACTAGCAAAACTACATTTTGCCTGAGTTTTTGGTGGTATTGACTGTTGATTCCCGTCTTAAACCCAAGCGACAACCGAACGCTCTGGACGCGGCGTGCCGCCAACGACACCAGCCCCCCTTACCCGTCATTTCGCAGTCGGGTATGATAGCTTCCAACAGCAAGAACGTGCCTTTTGACATGCATCTGCCATATAGCTCTCACTTTGTTGCATCCTCCTGAATTTGCTCAATGGTTTGAACGATTGAATAAATTCGACGTATTTCTTAAATCGCGGAGAATCCTGTACAAGGTAGCTTCAAACCAGCCAGCCTTGCTGCTCCGTCATGTGATTCGGACAACTTCGCTCATGAATCGTGACCACTTTTTGAATATGAAATCAATTCACGAAGTGGTAAGAGACTGGCAAGGATGATCTATCACGTAATTACCACATTGATGGCGGTGGCTTGCTAGTTAGAGGCGTTAGCCCTTTTTTGCATTCCTCTCTAGCAGCTCCGACACAAGAATCGGCTGACGCTCATAAAAGTCAAAATACTCACGAAAGACAGATTGAAGAGCCAATTCGACGCCGAAGAGAGTCAATGCTGCGGCCGAGATATTCAATGCTGAGTCAAAGACTTTTTTCCCTCCGCCGATGCTTACCCATGGCCTTGGAGACTCATCAATGTAATCAAGTTGGGCGTACATGATAGTACATCATGCTACCCCGAATTATCCGTCAATTATCTCTAGGTGGATCGTTAGGTAGTTCTAATCACTATTGCCATGTGTATCTGTTGATACTTTGTTCGGATTTGGGATTGTATTCTAGTTTACATAGCCCAATAGCCATCCACTTGACCGCCTTTCCGGGCGCACTCGGGACTTCTTGTGATACAATTAGACGCAAAGTCTGATTCGCTTCCCTTGATCACAAGTTACGAATCCGCTTTGCTCTTCCTCAAGTCGGTTCTTGTACATGTCGCAGAACTCATCAGGAGATATCACGACAGAGACACCAGCGTCGGGGATCAGGACCACTCTCGGTATTCAACTATATCAACGAAGATACATAATAGCAGTCAAAGTAAGACCGAGAGTAAAGGCGGCGTGCAGACTGACGAACACGGTCATGCCGACACGATTGATTGTTCCGCAGTGGCGTCGTGGCCATTTTCCAGAGCTCTGACTTGCTCCACGCACAGATCGATGCCAATGCATAGAGGCAGAATTTTTTCAGTGGCCCGATTATCTAGAGGAGTAGACTGACGAGGACTCGACCGAGCATGCGGACTGGCTCGTCTCTTTCATCTAACCGTTACTATTACCATGTATAGCCGGCTTAATGAGGTACTCCGTACGCCTCATTAGTACGCTGAGCTATAGACATGACGGATATCCGACGGGTTGCAATATGACTCTTGTTCGCCGCAGCGGGGGCGTGGAGCTATCTGGAAGCCGGGATGCAAGCGCACAAATAGGCCGAAAATGACCCATCAAGTTGGCGATAGGTTCGGTCTTTCCGCCATGGAGCGGCAGGGTCCCCGGACGCCACCAACCTAAACCACGCCACGATAAGGCGGAGGGACTCGGCAGTTAGCCAAGAGTGGACGTCTTGGCGCCAATGTGCAACAACATCTGTATGTAGTAGGCCTTTGATTCAGAGGTTTTGAGGACTATCTTCAAAATTCTCGACCAAATTGCTCGGGACACCTTTCTCGTCGGAAGCGGGAATGGTACCCTTTGATGGAGCAGAAGCCATCGCCGCGCGGCGGTCCGGTCTCATGACTCGCGAGTAGATGGTTTGAAAGTTGACGGCTTGTCTTTCGAATACGCGTTATGAGATTCCTCGAGGGAGTTTGAGATGATAGAGTGTCTCAACGACAAAATGTAATAAGTAGCTGCGTCGCCTGCAGTTGGAGCCAGTCCAAGCAGCACCGGCTACATCGACTACATCAGAAGATTTCGAGTGCAGAACAGACCGATTCAGTAGCAGCATACTTGCAAACATGCAGCCTTATCTTCTCGCTGCTCTGCTTGCGCTCCAAGCCGTCGCTGCTCCTCAGTCGCCAGATGAGCAGCCCTCTCCTGAGCCTACAGGTACTAGCGTGACCGACGATGGCATCGAGCTGGACACCAGCTTCATCACGGAGCCGTTTTTCGAGATTCTCTCCAACTACACGGAACTTTTGAACAGCACTGTTGACGCCAACTTGCACGCACCTGTCGAACGTCTCAGAGTCCGGGCCCCGAGTGTCGTGACCGCAGAGACGGCCTCGAAGATGAAGGCGCCCGGCCACGGCGCACAGGGCGTCTTCTTCCGCGGCGACTCACGCCCACCATCGCTCATATTCGCCACAGGTTTCCAGCCTAAGGGCAGCGATCCGAGCCTGATCAACCACCTCAGCTTCGCGGGCAACTCGGGCTTTGTCTCTCTCACCCGGAACCCGCACACGGCCGAGCAGTACGCCTTTGGTCGCACAGGCAGCAAGAAGGAAAAGGGCTACATCTATGTCATTGCGTCTAAGAACGTCCCGGATGGCTACTGGTTGCCTGGGATTTACCCGCCGGAGAAGAATCCCGCGGTGCACCGTAACCAAGAGTTTGCTGTGTTGGGCGCAGTGCCTGCGGAGAGCATCTCGCACGCTTACGAGGTTACGCGCGCGAAACCATCTGCCAGAATGACAAAGATTAGAAACGAGGACTATGTACTTCGGCGGTCATCCTCGTGCTTCTTCTCAAAGCGCGCCATTTTCTGTGACCCAGCCAAGTTCACGGAGAAGGCGTCCAAAGGTAAGCTCGTTCAGCGATCCAAGAGCGTTATCTCACTGGCTAACAAAGACTGTTCCAGGTCGCAGAATCAGAGTCAAGATATCCAAGACATTTCGTGTCAGCGCACGAGCTGGCGGTGCCGTAGCTTTTGCCGTGCTTTCCCCCTACGCGCACGACGTGCTAGACCTGGTCAAGTCGTGGGATAACCCCATCGGACACGCCGTGACTTGGTTTGACAACTCCATGGCAAGCCTCCAGGAGGCCATTGGAGGGCCGCAGGTCCCCGAAATCTACGGAAACACCTTGAAGCTGCGCCTCATTTGCTGGCTGCGCGGCGAGCAGCGCTGGCCTAACGACGTGGACAGGGCGTGCGCCCGTCTGCGGGCCTCGGAGCAGCCGCGCCCGGTTGAGACAATGGAGAGCAAGAGGCTCAAGAGCGTCAACGCCGTGCTAATTGCCTGTGAGAAGCTGGAGAATCCGGGCGTGTCTCTGGCTACTGCGGAGCTCAAGGCCGAACTTCAGGATCGCTGTGAGGAGTTTCGCGCCATGGCACACGAGCAGGACAAGTAGTATAATATCATGGCTGACTTCCTATTGTGGTTCCCAACCCGTCGACGGCTGAGAAGGACGTGGCTTCAGGCTGAAGAATACAAGTACTGGTTAAGTGGCTGAAGATGTTTGAGTATATATTGAATAGAACGTTGTGGGATATTGCGCACCCTTGCTCCTTTGCCTATTGGCGTCTTGGCAATCTCTGTACTCAAGAGCATGCCGTCAAAGGCTCCATTGCTTCGACTCTCAAGGATATCACGGGTCTGATACCTTGCTGGGATGGCCGAGAAGGCCATTTCACCAACAACTCGGGCAAGTTCAGAAACAAAAGAGGGTTCACCGGTCAATGGAAAGAAATACGGCGCCACTTGAATTCGCATGACAATATGGAATCAAAAACCTGACGGGTGCAAGTTCCACTAGAAGGAGGGTCGGTTCCTTTGAGCGCGCTTATGAGATGCTTAGGAAGCAGGAAAGGCAGCCACGCTTTTTCCATGACATTTTCACCACTCACAATGTCCCGGTGTATTTTAGGATCCAGTATTCATCACAACACAGGTCACGCTGCTCTCTGCAGGCATCTTCTTGGCTTTAATTTGTCTCGGTAAGCTCAGCAGCCGCATCCGCATTTCTTGCAGCCGCCTCCGCCACAAGTGTCGTTGCGTCCGCAATCACGATCCCTCACACACCTGTTTCAGTCGCTGAGGGGACCGCCGACAGTCGTCCAGCACCAGGCGCCCGTGCCGCCATTGTCGCAGGTTCTGAAGCACCAGCCCTTTTTGGAGCAGGCAGCGTCCCGGCCGTACCAGCACTTGCGCTTTTCCAGCTTCATCACGTCTTGTATGTCGCGGATGGACGGGTGCTCCTTGCACGTGCGGACCGACTTGGGGTCGACGCCGTCGGGAACTTTCATGACGCCGAGATTGCCGCACAGCAGCTGAGCCTCGCTCTCAGTAACATTGGCACGGGAAAGTCCCAATGCAAGCAAAGTGCGATTGAAAACGGTAGACTTCATTGTGTTTGAAGCGAATAAGAAACGTGGCAGCGGTGAAATGGGAGATGGGACTTTGTCGTAAAGAACTTGTTGTTGTTGTATTGTTTATCGCCTGGGGGCGCATTATCTATCTGACCGATAGGCGTGTCCTCGCTATAAGTATCTAACTAGGAAACCTACATATTTCTGTAGGAAACTCTAGAAAGTATAAAGTGTGAAGCGTGTCCTATACGGCAGAAGCTACAGGGTGCGGATTTGTAGGATGTGCCTGTACGGCTCACGCTGAACGAACATGATCAAATTCGGTAGCGCGCCTCACGGCGGCCGGCTCTAGCTGCCCCAGATCGCCCTTTTGAGTTTCATCTAGAGGTGTGTCCCCTGCCGGATTTGAACTAGTGACCTTTTCAAAGAAGGCCTTCCTGATGTATGACCACTATGTCGTCAAGCACGGCAATGATTCGTATCAAGATATGCAGGGCGCCACCTTATCATCTTCCTCCTCCCAGTCACACAGTTCTCAGTATTTGGGAAATCATTCCAACGTCTCAACATTGCCATCAGCCGCGCTGAATTAGTCCATCCTGGGCTGCAAAGAGAGCGCCGTCTTTTAAGGCTAAATAAACTGGTTGTACATGCAGTATCTTGCTGAAGTCACTTTGCATAAGCTCCCCGCCATACGTAGTCTGCAGGGAAGATTCGCCGATCGAGGCCAAGTAAGCTGGAAAAGTGTGAGTGATTGCGTCAAGACAGATCGAGCCAGTTGCCAATGACAAGACTACTTCTTCAAGAGCCAAAAAAAAAAAAAAAAAAAAAAAACGAGACGAGTTAGGAGTGCACCGCCTGATCATCAGTACTTGAGTGCTTGGTCCAGCTACTTGCTAATAAGTCGCGCGGCAATGTGGCAAGTGAGGGATATACGAAGAACAAGTAACACAAATTGTACACGTGGCAATTTTTTCCGGAGACGTTTATTGCAGTTCGTCACAATTGCAGGGCATGGTCTTGTGTAGCCTACGGAAATGGATTCTTGACGCACCAACTGGCATTTGTACAATCGGGCCCATCGGCAACGGCCCGGGGCTGACAGTGGTTGGCCCGCGGTGGAGTCGGGGAGGCGACGCCGAGATGCAGAACCCGCCCGCTAATAAACTAGTCAGGAGGGAATTGCGGTGACTAAATAACAAACCCCTGCAAAACCCCGTTGCTTCTGCGGGCGTAGTAGCCTTTGCGGCGGACTTTTGGCCAGTAGAAACCCTTGTGTTATATTCGTACTCAAACCAGTGCCAATTCAATTGGCCGGGACTTTCCACAAAGCCGTTGAGTCTCCGTCTAAAAACCCCGTTGTGGCCCGCGTCAAAGGGGGGTCCAATGGAGTGAATGCCCTAATAAGCTGTAATACTCATGTTAAAACTAATACCAGGGCAGGGCTGATGCAGGCAAAGGACGGCGCCCGCCCTGCAAGACTCCGATCCTCGTCATTGGAATTCGCAGGGGGGTGGAGATGATTTGCAGCTCATCGAGCTCTACACGCAAACGCAACAAAATCTCAACTCGCGTCTCACGACCATCGCGTTTGCTTGCATCGTGCCATGTCCAGCCTGCGCCAAGCTGCCCATTACACTCCCCAAATTTCTCACATCCCTTCTCTTTCTCCGTCCTTTTTGCAGCCCGCGTTGACACAACATGCTTGCACCAATCGCGTGGGGTCTGCCCAGTAGACAGCCCTACAAAATTCTCCTCGCCCTCGCCGTCTTCCTCTCTCTCGCCCTCGTCCTCTTCCGGCTGCACGTCAGCAGCGCCGAGGACCTTCTCGCGACCGGCACCAGCCACGACTCGCCCGAAGCTCACGAGGTGTGCACCACGCACGGCTTCACCGTGTATCCCGCCGCTGCCGCGGGCAGCGGCGGCGCGCGTCGCAAAATCTACGACTTGACCATGGTCAACACGGAGCTCGACTGGCTCGAGATTCGTCTCGATACGCTCTACGACGAGGTCGACCTCTTCATCATTGTCGAGTCCCCGAAAACCTTTCACGGCCATGATAAGCCGCTACTGGCTAAGCAGAGCTGGGACCGCTTCGCAAAGTACCACGACAAGATGCTCCACCACGAGCTCGAGTTCCCAGGTGGCTTCCGCCCCCAGCGCACCTGGGACTTTGAGTACTTTCAGCGCGACGCCGCCTACGAGCAAGTCTTTCCTAAACTCCTCGGCACCGACCCCCGCGCCCCGCGCCTCGGTGACGTCCTGGTCGTCGCCGACGTCGACGAGATTCCGCGTCCCGACACGCTGCGCGTCCTCCGCACCTGCAGCTTCCCGCGCCGCCTCACCCTTTACACGCGCTTCTTTTACTACTCGTTTCAGTTTCAAAGCATCGGGCCCGAGTGGCACCATCCGCAGGCGACCTACTATGACGGACAGCGCACGCTTTCGCCTAATAATCTAAGGGGGGGCCGCGGCGGCAACTTTGTCTCCCGCTGGCTGGAATCGGGTAAATATGCGGATTCGGGATGGCACTGTAGCAGCTGCTTTGACTCTATTGAGCTGTATCTGAATAAAATGGCAAGCTTCTCGCATAAATGGATGAATGGGGACAAATTTCGAGATCGTGACCGTATCGCGGCTGCGGTCCGCGACGGACTCGACATTTGGGGGCGCAAGAGAAACAAATTTGAGAGGCTGCAGAACAATACCGACTTGCCGCCGTTAGTCAGGGACGATGAGCGATTCCTATATCTCAAGGATCGAAGCGGCAAGTCGGCTGGCATGAAGGACTATCCTTGAATTGACAGCTACGTCATCTGTCAACGACACACAAAGGGAACATTATGACTCGTCTCATTTGCAACGATACAGAAGCGTCGGAGTTTTGGAGTCAACGTGTATAAAACCATGTTTTGATAGCGCTGGAATGAATACTGACAAGATTCCATCTTACTATCCTGTGCCTGTAGCTTAAGCAAGTTACATCGGAAGAACATTGTGGCGATACATAGACTATTTGAGGTTGTCGGCTTGCTTCGCCTCTTCCAAACGCGCTGTGCTAGGTGCCAGGCCTGCTCCAACCTCTTTCTTGTTCCGGAAGAACCATGATTATTGTACGTGGGCAACAAGGGGAAAAACTCCAAAAGGCAGTAAGAGATGAAAGCTCAAGGCAAAAAATGATTGCAGCAATAAAAAAAAAGTATCAAGACGAAAGTGGGTAAATAACGTCATAACCCAACAACTCCAGACATGCAACATACATCAATATACATAGCTCTATACAAAGAGCACATGAACTCTAAGACTTGCGGCGTCTGTCCGAGACTTGCGGCGCCCCAAACATCCGCCAAAGCATCCCGCGCTCAGCTTCGCTGAGCTGTAGCGAGTCACGGCCCGAAAAAGCCTGGTCAATCGCCATGTTGAAATCGCTCGGCACAATGCCACCCTGTCTCAGGGCCGCAGTTGATTCCAGATACAGTTTATGGATCGCCTCGCCATCAATCAGATCAATCTTCATCGATGCCGGCAGTACGTCGTACGTGCCCATCACGGCCTTCTAGTGTCCATTGATAGCGGCGCTGCCGGGCGGTCTGGGAGGGCGCTCCGGCCCGTACGGTACTTTAATCGTCGCAGGCCCAGCTTGTGGCGGTTGTGAGCGTGATTGTAACGGCGTCTCCTCCTCTGTGTCGTCGAGATCGCTACCCTCCTCGACCTCTTCAGAGTAGTCGCTATCTTCCCCGTCCTCAGCCGGGTCCTCATTGTTGATACAGTTTTCTAACGTCGACGCCATTGCCGTTGGGACTTTACGACCCTGTTGCTGCATCTGTTGGATGATGCTCATAAGCTTCTGTGTCTTCTTTTCGGCGGCGTCCATTTGGCTCTTCCATTGCTGTCTCTCTTCTGCCATGCGAATAATGTTGGCCGCCGTAGCCTCCTTTTGGCGCTTAAGTGCCTCGTTCTCCTTGTCTAACCGCTTGCACTTTTTCGACTGTTCTTGCATCTCTCTGCGCTGGCGGGCGACCATGTCATCCCGTTGATCAAGAGCTACCTTCACCTGTACCCGACGTCAGTGAAAAGCACGACCGCTTACTTGTCCAAACTTACATTACATGCCTCGCCAAGCTTATCAATGTACATATTAAGCTCCGCGCGAAGCTGCGTCTCGCTTCTAGATAGTGTCTGTACTTGTGATTGTAGCTTGCGCATCTTGGTCAACTCGGTCTCGGTGGCTTTCTTGTCTCGCTCAAAGCGCGCGAGATGGTATTGGAGTTCAATCTCCTTGGTTCGCATCTGGGAGTGAAAATGCAGCTCTCGGAGTTCGTATTGCTCAATAAAAGATTTGAAGCGTACTCGGAACCTATGGGCGTCAGCAGGATCCAGGTAGCACTCGACTCATGACGTACAGCTCCTCCATTTCCATATCTACAATTTGCTTGCGCGGAGTGTCCTTGTCCTCTTGAGAGCATTCAAGCTTCGAGAGCAGAGCGCCGTATTTCTCGTCCCATGATAGGGCATTGCGCTTTTGTATAGCTTGGAGTTCTTTGTTCTCGTTCTGCTGAAATCAGCACCGGATCGTGTCACTGCCGCAAGGACCTGCATACCTTCATCTTGTTGTTATCCCTCTGGAGTTCACGACACAGCTTCTCCAGCTTCTCTTTCAACCCTATTGTCTTGCTGAGCTCCGTGCGATTGATATCTCGTTCTTTCTGGAGAATATCGCCGCGCTTCTTATTCTTTTGATTCTCCTTTTCTAAACGTCGCATATCGGCAAGCAGCTCGCTAGACCGCTTCGTCAGATGGTCAATCTTTTGTGAGTCGTCCATTCTAGCCATTTGTTGCAATAGATCACGAGTTGCGCGCCTAACTTCTCTTTCTGTCATCAGAAACGTTAGTAGGAGTATTTATGCCAAACCCTACGAGCGGCTATGCGCCCGAATATGTTGTCGTACCTATTTCCAGCTCTTGATCCTTCTCACCCGCGGCATCCTGCTCCAGTTGCGAGATGCGCTCCGCCAGGAGTCTGGAGGCGCCATTTGTTGCGTCGACGCCTTTCTTCGCCTTGCCCTTTTTCCCTGAGGGCGGCGCAAGGTGGCTGTGGCCATCGTGACCGTTGGTGGTGGCCGGCTCAGCGCGTGTCGCTGGCATGGTCGACTTGGTGTGCTGCTCGTCGATTCTTGTCGCACGGGTGGATAACGATCGGCGTTACAGCATTGACAAAAGAATAATCTAGTTTGTATGCAACGGTGCGGGACGCAGCCGCCCTCGGGAGCCTAGAATCTCGCTGGTGTTGACGAGATCGTCCGGGTTGGGGGGGCGGAGGTCCTGCTCGTCCGACATGAGCGGGCCGAAGTCGAGCGGATGCAGAAGCCTTGCGGCTTGAGGCGAGACACGGCCAAATGGCGCTCACACTCGACTTGAGGCGCAGAATCTTCAGTCAGCTTAAGTGGCTATGGCGGCGCTGAGGATTGTGTTGGGCAATGGATGAGGACGACGTAGTTTTCCACTCTGATGCACAACTTTGGCTAGTGCCTCGAGTGGACTTGGGAACGCCGCTCAGGTGGCACCAGGCAAGGTGAAATAAAGTGCTCCCCAAACGGGGGCAACAACCCGCTGCTATAGTGGACGGGTGACGGTCCTCACAACTGGCAGCGTATTCAATTTCAAACTATTATTGATTTGATCACAGTCTATCGTTTTATCTGGTCACTCTTGCGATCTCCTTTGTCGATTTTGTTCAATGCGAATGCCGTCGAATCATCAGCTTATCCAAGCTCACTGCCTGTTGCTAGCTTAGCTATGGCACTACGCAATTTGCACGAGGTATAATGCAGAATACATTCAAAGGCCCGACATTATGCTTGCTCAAGCTGCAGCAGAGAACAGAAACATAACAGCAGTCGTCCAGACATTATTAAACTCTACAATATGCCTTTTCGTCTTTTTCCTGCTCCCTAATTCGCCCCTGTTAGCTGCTCCCTAAAGCGGCGTTGTAATGCTTACTAATAGTAAAATGACGTCCTATCCACGACCTCAAATTTCCATTAGCAACAATCGCTGTTTGACCCTCGTTTGCACTGTTTGTCCACTCGTGGTTATCTGTACCAGCGTCGCATATTGTTTAATTTATCATGTTGCGCAATGCGGCCCGCAAGGCTGTGACCGAGCTGTCGCAGTACCCCAAGCCTGGCTCCAAGCTGCACGGCTTCACGCTCGTCCGATCCAAGCATGTTCCTGAACTAGAGCTCACGGCGCTACATCTTCAGCACGACAAGACTGGCGCTGACTACCTACACATTGCGCGAGAGGACAGCAATAATGTCTTCTCCATCGGTTTCAAGACAAATCCCCCGAATGATACGGGAATCCCTCATATCCTCGAGCACACGACGCTCTGTGGTAGTGAAAAGTGAGTGCGCAAACGGATGAGCAGGAATCGCCTGATGCTTACCTAAAGCCAGGTATCCGATACGTGATCCGTTTTTCAAAATGCTTCCCCGAACTCTGTCAAACTTCATGAATGCCTTTACGGCTTCAGACCACACATTTTACCCCTTTGCCACGACAAATGCCCAGGACTTCAAGAACCTCATGTCCGTGTACCTCGACTCGACGCTACATCCCCTGCTAAAAGAATCCGATTTCACACAAGAGGGATGGCGCATCGGCCCGGAAAATCCACTGGCCACAGATGAAGAGAGCAAGAAGCTTGTTTTCAAAGGTGTCGTCTACAACGAGATGAAGGGCCAGATGTCCGATGCGGGCTACCTATACTATATTCGATTTCAAGACTACATCTTTCCCGACATCAACAATTCTGGCGGCGACCCGCAGAAGATTACCGACCTCACTTATCAACAGCTAAAAGATTTCCACGCGGAGCACTACCACCCCAGCAATGCCAAGTTATTTACATACGGTGATATGCCGCTAGCCGACCACCTTCGAGACATTGATGCGCGTTTGCAAGCATTTGAGAAGATTCAGGCCGACAAGAAGATCCATGAGCCCATTGTCCTCTCTGAACCCAAGAATGTCACGCTGGCGGGCCCATTCGACCCCCTGGTCGACCCAGATCGGCAATACAAGACCTCGGTCTCTTGGATCATGGGGGACACAACGGATGTCTTGGAGTCGTTCTCGCTTGCTCTTCTATCTAGCCTGTTAATGGATGGATATGGCTCGCCGCTGTACCGTGGGCTTGTGGAGACTGGAATGGGTGCTGATTGGAGCCCGAACTCTGGCTATGATAGTTCTGCCAAGCGAGGGATATTTTCCATCGGCCTGACTGGTGTGCAAGAAGCAGATGTGCCCAAGCTCAAGTCCAAGGTCCAGGAAATCTTACGCGATGTCCGCGACAACGGGTTTGATCAGGGCAAGATTGACGGGTCACTGCATCAGCTGGAGCTGTCTCTCAAGCACAAAACTTCCAATTTTGGCTTCTCCATGCTCAACCGACTCAAGCCAAAATGGTTCAATGGTGTCGATCCATTCGACTCGCTTGCTTGGAATGATACCATTACTGGCTTTCAGGCCAAGCTGGCGGAAGGCGGCTATCTAGAAGGACTCATTGAAAAGTATCTGCTCAACGACAAAACTCTTACATTTACTATGACGCCGTCGGCTACTTTTGGAGAGGACCTTGTCAACGAAGAGAAGGAGCGTTTGGCCGGCAAGATTGCCGATGCGGTCAAAAAGGCTGGTGGTGAAGAACAAGCGCGCACAGCCTTTGAGCAGCAGGAACAGGATCTTCTCGCCGAACAAAACAAGACCAACACGGAAGACCTCAGCTGTCTGCCTACTGTCTACGTCAAGGATATACCCCGGAGCATCGACCGGATTACGGTGCGCGACGAAGTCGACGAGGGCATTTCTATCCAGTGGCGCGAGGCTCCTACCAACGGCCTAACATACTTCCGTGCTATCAACACGATTGAGGGTCTGTCGAATGATCTGCGCCAACTAATTCCCCTCTTTACAGACAGTATCATGCGCTTGGGCACCAAGGATATGACCATGGAGCAGCTGGAGGATCTGATCAAGCTCAAGACGGGCGGCGTATCTGTCGGGTACCACTCGACACCATCACCGACAAACTTTGAGGAGGCCCATGAGGGCATCATCTTTACTGGCATGGCGCTGGATCGCAACGTGCCCGTGATGTTTGAGTTGCTGCGCAAGCTGGTTCTGGACACCGACTTTGACAGCCAGGAGGCGGCGCTTCGCATTCGCCAGCTACTGCAAGCTTCGGCCGATGGTGTCGTCAACGACATTGCCTCGTCGGGCCACCGCTTTGCCATGAATCATGCGGAATCTGGTCTAACGCGGGCTGCCTGGCTCCGCCAGCAGGTGACTGGTCTGTCGCAAGTGAAGCTCATCACCTCGCTTGCCGGCCGTCCGGAGTCTGACCAGCTTGAAGATGTAATTGCCAAATTGAAGCAGATTCAACAGCTCGCACTTACCAAGGGTAAACTTCGCGCCGCTGTCACCTGTGGCAGCGAGAGCGTCGCCAGCAATTTCACTTCGTTGCAGACCTTTACTCGCGGCCTACAGCCCCCACTGCCGCAAACTGCCGGTGGTGTACTGACCCTTCCCAAGACGAAGAAGACATTCTTCCCGCTTCCCTACCAGGTCTACTATGGCGGTCTCTCTGTATCAACAGCATCCTATACGCACGCCGACGGCGCACCCCTCCAGATACTATCGCAGATGCTTACGCATAAGCATCTGCACCATGAGATTCGCGAAAAGGGTGGAGCCTATGGCGGCGGGGCCTACGCCAAGGCGCTCGACGGTCTCTTTGGGTTCTACTCGTACCGCGACCCGAATCCGCAAAACACGATGCGTATCATGAAAGATGCCGGGCGATGGGCCTCGGAGAAGGCCTGGAGCGACAGAGATCTGGAGGAGGCCAAGATTTCGGTGTTCCAGTCTGTGGACGCGCCCAAGGCGGTCAACGAGGAAGGCATGAGTCGGTTCCTGTCGGGCGTGACTGAGGATATGCGTCAGGCGAAGCGCACGCAGCTGCTCGACGTGACTCGGGAGCAGGTGCAGGCGGTCGCGGATCGGTACCTTGTACAGGCGGTAGACAAGGGCGAAGATCGCATGTCGTTCTTGGGCGAGAAGAAGGCGTGGGTTGATGGCAGCTGGGCAGTGGAGGAGATGAATGTGCCCGGTGCAGAGTAAACGTGCAGTGTACGATATGGGTGGAAGAATCACAGTGTACCAACGTAGCTGACGATCAGGCGAAAGGCGAGACACGATAAAGACAACATGTATACTATAGAATATTTTGGCATAGACGGAAGGAAAAGTACGACTCTTCTCACGATGTCGACGGTATTCGACAAGATGACACAGTGAAGGAGTGAAATGGGTTGTGGAGTTGACGCGTTCAGATACGATACGCCTTTCTGTCGATGAACATTGTTTCGTCATTCATGGCAGAGAGGCCACAGAGCAACGCAAGAGCAAACACAATGTTTCTTTTTCCATTTTCCTTCTAGGACGAACCGGTGCTGACGATGGTACTTTTTTCAATCCTGGGTTCTTTGTTTGTTTTTTCTACTACTCCTTGTACTTGTCTCCCGCCATTTCTTGCGGCTACGGGACCCGGATGCCTCTCCAGACCGCGTTTTTTGCGCAGGACTCTTTCAACTCTGGCGCCTCGTTCCTGCGGGCTGCGTTTGCCGCCATGGTACAACAAGCAGCAGAGCACGAGCTTGCCCGGGATTGGACAGCAGGACTGCCTCTAGACAGGAATGTAGGATATGGCGGAAGGGAGGCCTCCTTTCGCTAGATGTGGGATTGGCTTAGACGAGACTCTGGGGGAAAGTGGGGGAGGCAACGCAAGAAGACAAGGAGGGGAATCTTGGTACTGGAGGTTTCTTGATTTTCTGGAGGGGGGGAATGGAGGAGAAAATCGCTCGTTCTCTCAGAGCCGGGGTCGCTGAGCATTGGATTGCCGGACTAAAGAACTGAGTACATGTCAAGAGTCAGGAGGACGGATATTATTCATTTGGAAGCTGGATAGAGGGATGCCGGTGAGGGGAGAAAGGGGAGTTGTGCGTGCACGTGTGTGTGTGAGTCTAATTTAATCGCGATGCCGAGGGAGATGGCGACAACAAAGACCAAACAGGCGGCGTGGCTGATGACGAGTACGTAGAGAGAGGTCCGAGGCTATGTTTGTGACAGACGAGATACTTTGCTGCCGTGCTGTGGAATCTATGGCCGAGCCAGGTACATTTTGTTGGTTAGACTTGTAGTATGAGACTTTTTTTTCTACTCAATAGTGTCTGGACTTGACGAGGCGTTGGCGTTGTAATATGAGGTATTAGTTGAATGGTTTCTGTTGTTGCCTCATCACAGGCAGTCGATCGCATGTGGGTCAGCACATAGCCCCAAATGAGGAATAACAGGGGACTAGTATACAACACATGGGCGTTTTGGCCCTTTTCGATGCCGTGAGAGAGTTGGAGGGCCCGTGGGCAGTGTTGACGTGCGTCATGTCCGGACGGCGGTTGGCGACCCCAGAGTTTTTTTTTACTGGTGTCGCGTGGAAGAGAACGTAGACCGAGGGTCCAAGCTCTTGGCAGGTCGATCGGGCCAAGGTGCCGGGCAGAGAGTCTGTGCGTTTTATGCCGGGCGATGGCAGTTTCGTGGTTCGGATCCAGAGTGCCGACTGCAAGGCCATTCTGGAGGTCGACCAAGGGCCATCGCACCATTAGTGTAGCATGTCACGTCTGGGCTGGGTGGCGCTGGTGTTGGTGTTGGAGCTGAATGCGACTACAAAGTGCTGGCTTCTCGGGTGTGTGGTGCTGTGATGTTGGAGACGCTAACAAAGGAAGCATGCAAATGGTTGTGATGTTTGCGGAGAGGGATTATCAAAACGGCCACATCCCTGTGCCTAGGAAAGGGACCTTGGCCCGAACGACTGGTCTGCTTGGTTCGAGATGGGTAACTAAGCTTATTGCGCAGAAGGGTGTACTCGACAAGCCACAAAGACAAGGGGGGCATTCATGGAGAAATCGATGCGAGACCCGATGCCAAACCAGGAGAGACACATGTCGAATATCGCCAGGGAACAGGGCCCGGCGTGGGGTTGCATCGAGCCACGATTCAGTCGGGGGGGCGCGGATCGCCAAGAGTCGGGTAGACGGCACCGGTGGCCGGGACGTGGTGGCAATGGCTGGCTCTTGGGCCGCCCGCGGGAGAGGGTTTGTATGTGTAGTTAGTAGCCGTACTGGAGAGCAGCGGCGCACAGGCATGATTTGCCTTTTGATATGGGAGAAACTCATTTGCTACGATGCCAACATTGACACGAGCCGCGTCTTGCTCTACGTACGTCTTTACAAAAGTGACTCCATGTTCTTGACACCGTTGTTACATCGGGGCTGCCACGACATGTCTCCGCCGGAGGGAGGTCCATGGGAAGGCTTTTCGATGAAGAATGCGCGCAGGTATTGCTGACTACTGATTGACTATGGTGGCAAATGGGTGACAAAGTACAGTTCTCCTAAAGCCTTGTAGGAGGTGATCATAGAGGCACTTGATAGCCTAACTAGCCTAGTTAGTGTAAAATAATAATACGCATTCTATCCGTATTGTAATACACAACAATGATAGAATATGTATTATTGTATCACACCAACTAGGCTGAAGAGCCTATCTAGTACCTCTTTCATTCACATCCTATAAGATACAGTGAAAACCGCTAAGAGACTGGGTCAGAACCTTCTTTTTTTTACTGCCCGCTTGGGTGGCAATGGCAAGTGCAATATTGCGAGCTCGTAGGGGTAACAAGATTTCGCAAACATGAGCGGCTCGTCTCGCGGCGTACTGCAGCGGCATGTGCATGCAAGGCTGCGAGTGATGCGCCCAGAGCCCCCGTTTGGGCGTCGCTGCGTTGCGGTTCCACGGGATGGCCATCCGGAGGGGCGTGAAACTTGCATGCACGATGATAATGGGCGTGCGGCGGTAGTTGAGGCGATTGGGCAGACACAGCCTTTGTGACTCGTCCTGGCTCGGATTGTGTTGAGCTGCCTGTTCCAGCTCAGCCCTGAAGAGACGCGCAACAAAGACTGTCCCCTCTGATTATTATTTGCCGCATGCTGAATGAATGGGCTCTCGTAATTCGGGCTGTAATGCATCATTGGTGCCAGCCAGCACAGCCCGGTTTGTCATTTTCACGACGATGCCCGGGGAGGGTAAGCCGAGGAAAAGTACACAGTACTGCTACATAATACATGCGCATGTCTCGGAAACGGCGTCGTGGGAGAGGGTGTTGGCGAGGTACCTAAATAGGTAGCCGTGTCAATTGCAGGTCGTGGCGGGCGTCGAGTACGTAGCGGGCATCTGTGTGCCTTTCCCGTCATTGTCGTCGAAAAAGTCAAATTTTCAATCCATGTGTCGCGTTTTTTTTTCGTGCGGCTGGCGCTTTGTATTCGTAGTCAGACGAGGCCTCACTGGTCGACGGCGGTATAATTCTGGGGCCTCGCAGGCTTTCTAGACTTGCTGCACTGATCATCCAGGACAAGTACAGCCAAGTGCAGGCAAGTCAGCCAGCCAGGTACACCAGCCGTGCAGCCCAACCAGGCAGACCACAAACAGAGGGAAAGGCAATAATTATAAAGGGGGGAAATGAAATGAAAAAATTATACCAGTAATAAAGCAATGCGAATCTTTACCATAAAAATAAATCTCTCGTCTGCCTGCCTGCTCGGTCTGCTTGCTCACTGCCGCCCACTCGTGACTCTACCCAATATCCGCCTACCTACCCACCAGTGACCACAGCCTCAACTCTCTTCCACTCCCTCCCCTTCTCCTCCAGCTTGGCCCATCTTCTGCTCCTTAACACAACACACCGTGTCCTCGCAACGTGATATTGCAACCACCACCCCCTCCAATTCGGCTTCCCATTCCGCTCTAGCTACACTCTAGCCTTTCAACCTCGATATTCACATCTTTGCTAAATTCCCGCACGGTTAGTTTGCCCCTTGCCACAAATGGCGCATCCGTCTCTCAACTGTGTCCCTCTGTTTGCTCGCTCGCTTGCTGGCTGTGCAACCCCTCCACCATCGCCCATCACGACAACTCGCACGGCCAGACCACCACCACCACCACTACCAAAACACGGACCGCGAGACTTGATACAATAGCTCTTTACAAAATGTCACCCCTTCGGCTTCTTTTTGCCGCATCCCCCTCTTTTTTTAAACGTCAATTTTGTTCTCGTCTCTTCTTCTCACGTCTCCCCCAAGCACATGCGTCATGACTCCACATATATACATCTAGGAAAAAACTTGACCGCTGACCACCTCTCTCCCACAACAACAGACAGACTACCGCTCACCACTTCCAACCTACCCAATTACTATAAATCCGTCGTGCTCACGACTCGCCTTAGCCTTTGGGTTCGACTCAAAAGGCACCGCTCTCGCTACGGCTCCCCAGGCCGTTTTCCACTTCTCCGACAAAAATTTCTGCTTTCGCAAGCCTACTCACATCATCAACGCCATTCCTCCTCCTCACGCCGCCTGCCGCTGCCTATAGCTTGTTCAATTCGCCTATCTTGACTGCTGGTGATTTGGATCATCAACTTCCACCCCCGTCTTCCCACCAATCCCATCAGCTGCCGCATAGGAGGATTTCTGAGGTTCTTCCTCTTGCCGAGGAAGAGTCGAGGAGGCCTCGCCAGTCCGCTGAAGGAAACGTTTGTTACATCCTTCGACCCCCCTAACAAGCCCTTTCCACAAACCGGTTTACTCAATCGATAATAAACGACATCCTTGTTTGTTATCCGACAACTACAACACCTGGGATATGACCATGACTACGGCCGTCTTTGACCACCATGTCGACACCATTCACCAATCCCCATTTTTAGCCAAAAGGCTTCCCATTCCCTCCATTGCCGCCCGCGATGGTCCCGCCATTGCCAAGCAGCTCATCCGCAATGCCCTCACCCGCCGTGTTGAGGCTGTTGACCACGAGCTCTGCGAGCCTGGCGATGAGGACACCTTTTTTGTGGCTGATCTTGGCGACGTTTACCGTCAGCACCTGCGCTGGAAGAAGAACCTCCCTCGTGTCCGCCCCTTTTACGGTATGTTGATTCTGTTCCCTTCTTGTCCTCGCTCCGCTTGCATTATTCTCTTCTCTTTGCTCGTCACGCTCGTCTTTGTACCGTTTTTACTCTCCTCACTTGCTCTGTTTGCAGTTGCTAACTTACACAGCCGTCAAATGCAACCCCGACCCTATGGTCCTTCGGCTCCTCGCCGCCCTCGGCACCGGCTTTGACTGCGCTTCCAAGACCGAGATTGACCAGGTCCTCGCCATGGGCTGCTCTCCTGACCGCATCATCTATGCTCAGCCTTGCAAGACAAACTCGTACGTCCGCTACGTCAAGGCTGCCGGTGTCCGCCAGATGACCTTTGACAATACCGACGAGCTCTACAAGATCGCCAAGCATTTCCCCGATGCTGAGCTCTACCTGCGCATCATCACCGACGACACCTCCTCTGCCTGCCGCCTCAGCATGAAGTTCGGTGCTCCCATGGACACCACCGACAGCCTGCTCGCCCTTGCGAAGGAGCTCGGTCTCAACGTCGTCGGCGTCAGCTTCCACGTCGGTTCTGGCTCCGCCGACCCCATGGCATACTACCACGCCGTTAAGGATGCTCATCTCGTCTTCCAGCAGGCTGCTGAACACGGCTTCCACCTCCGCACCCTCGACGTCGGCGGTGGCTTTTCCGGTGCCACTTTTGAGGTCAATGCTGCTGTCCTCAGCGGTGCCCTTGATGAGCTCTTTCCAGCCTCTAGCAATGTCGAAATCATTGCCGAGCCCGGCCGCTACTACGTCGCATCAGCTTTCACCATTGCTTGCAACGTCATCGCCCGCCGCACTGTAGATGACCCTGCCACTGGCGCCACCTCGTACATGATTTACATCAACGATGGCGTTTACGGCAACTTTTCCAACATCATGTTTGACCACCAGCACCCCGTTGCCAAGGTCCTGCGCCGCGACGGCGAGACTGTCTACGACACCGCTCTCGCCAGACCCGCAGTCGACGGCATCGAGTACTCGGTCTGGGGCCCAACCTGCGACGGCATTGACCGCATCACCGAGAGCACCCACTTTGCTGGCCTTGTGGACGTTGGCGACTGGCTCTACTTTGAGGAAATGGGCGCCTATACCAAGTGCTCCGCCACCCAGTTCAACGGCTTCTCCAACGCCCACGACGTCATATATGTTTCCTCGGAGCCTGCCGTCAATGCTCTCGTCAGTATCTAATCGGAAAAGGATAATGGTTTGTTGTTTTCAAGATAGAGGGATAGTTGTAGATGAACACTCTTGGTTACGCATTCTTGCATGAGCACAAACAATGCTCACATTTTTACACAATTTCTTCAGACAATAGAAACTCGCAATTTAAGCACTGAGAAATCGATTCCAGGGTCACAATAACAACGGGCTATCAAACGAGCCAGAAGATTAGCGTGTCATATATATTCGATGATGCACTGAGCTGATTTGGACCTGATGGGATTCATTTGAAGATATGTCGTTCTAGTTACTGCTTAGTCCAAGTGCTACAGCTTTTATTTTTGTGTCATAGCCGTCGTATGTACCTGTTGCGAGTAGCTGGCACACTCAACAGCCAGCCGTGGACTCTGCAGGAGCTGAAGCCCGTCACAGCGTTGGTAAGAGTAGCCACGTCACTGAAATGTGACTTGAATTGATTCAGACAGAATGCACTGGAAATGGCTACTATTTGGCCATTGTTTCGCGAAGAATAGGGTAGTGATTGTGGCGCGAGGGCCACCAGCCACTCATGACACCGCCACAGCCAGTAAAGGCGAAAATTAGTGGGCCGTGCTCTGCACCCCCGCGAGTTGGCTGCGCACAAAAATAATATCTGCAAAAAATAGCCCAATCTTCTCTGTACACTGTTCAATCGTAATTTTTCCGATCAAACAACACAACACCGCCATAATGCCTCGCGAAGTCGCTGATATCAAGAAGGTGCGAATGGGAAATGTGTTATGATTATTTGCGAGAAGAATCCATGCATTCTAACTGCTTGTTAGTTCATCGAGATCTGCCGTCGGAAGGACGCCTCCTGTACGTTTCGGAAACCATATCGAACGCTTGTTTTCTCGCTGCGAGACGAACCGCCGACGAAGAGAACGATGCGAATGCCATTGAGGTGAAACGATTACTAACAAAAATGTACAGCCGCGCGCATCAAGAAGAACAAGAAGGCCCAGAACATCAAGTTCAAGGTCCGTTGCCAGAAGCACCTGTACACTCTGGTGCTCAAGGACACCGAGAAGGCCGAGAAGCTCAAGCAGTCTCTCCCTCCCAGTATGCGACCCCCGCGACGCAGTATCGAGTTGGAATACTTTTCGGCGGAGCGCATTGCGGCAAATTGCATTGCGTTGCCGGAGGGCATTCCAACTCGGTGGTCAATCGCTCTTCAACCTAGATGTTTGCTAACAGCCCCGCAGCCCTTCAGATCACCGACGTCTCTAAGAAGAGCAACTAAACTGTCATAAAATAACGGAAAATTGGACGGAATGGAGTAAAGGGTACACACACACGCACACACTCACACACACAAAAACACAAAATATGACATGGGATGAGGAGTCGAGGCCGAGCCCGGAATGGATGAAGGATTCTACATGCACACATTGGGCGTCTCGGGAATACCTTGCATTTGATGTGCTTGAATCGCGCGCTTGATAGAGATTTCTCAAATGAACGATTAAGGACATGTACACGATGCGACTGGCCGTCTTGCTCGGTGACTGTGGCTCTGGATGAAAAGACAAATCGTCTTGGAGCGGGTGTGTTGTGACGAACTACACTAATATACAAACGCAGGGCATTCTTGTCATTGATCTGACCACCCTTCATCTCTCCGAGGGTAGCCCGATCAAGGCGCTATTTCGGCAATGCGCAGCTCGGGGCCTATAGACTTGCCGTACTGGTTGAGCGGCGCCAGCCCGTCAGCCGCAAGGTCAGCACTGCGAAATATCACGAGCTCGTCACGGTCCCCTTCCTTTTCGATGCGCCAGCCCGCCCAGACCCTGTCCTTCTGCCTCCCAGCCATGAGCGCGTCCTCGAGCTCTGTGTAGCGGGCCTGCAGCTGCTCGCGCCCCGCAGCGCCCTCTACCGCTGCCAATTTGGTCACGATGAGCGTTTCTTTCGGAGAAAAGGCCTCGTGGAGGTGCGGCCGGCGGCCGGCGGTGTTCATGTGGAAGAAGAGGAACCCGCGGTCCGCCTCGCTGGCTGTGGGGTCAGCGGCGGCGGCGTGGTCGGGCACGGTGCCGCCGGGTAAAAAGGCGGCAAACTTGGCCATGATTTGCTTGTTGGCGGGCGTGTCGAGCCATTCAAGGTGGGCGGCGGGGGACTTCCAGGGCGCGGTGATGGCGACGCGATGGCGACCGGGCTCGGTAGCGTCGGCATAGAGGCGGCTGACCGAGGCCTTTTTGGCGCACTCATTGGGATGGTGAGCGCGGACCCATTCATCCTGGATCTCCTGGCACTCCATGACGACCTCGAGGAGCTCAACGGCGTCGTAGGAGTCACGGAGGGTGAAGAGTGCGAATTCGGTAACAGGCATGGCGTCTTGTCGGAGTGCGGAGATCTTGCGCCGGCTATAGTAACCTTGTAATAGTGCAGCCGTTGTGATATGGTAGGCTGTTGTAATATTGCAGCGAATCTTGTGAGGCGTGCATGAAGTATTCGCGACGGTTTTGATTTGGACAAGGCAGCTTGGCGGGGAGCTCACTTCCCTGTGTGGCTGATGCGGGGGAACAGCATCGCACACGAAAGCGGGAGGTGAGGGGCAAAGCTTGTCCGTTTATTGGTGCAGACTTAGTAAAAGATTATTTACAATGGAGGCCAAGTTATTCAGCGCGCAACATTTCAATGGGGGAAACCAGCCAAGGGTAAAGAGGCAATGATTGGCTGGCTGAAACGGCGCCGAATGACGTTGACTGCATCATGAAGCTTTTCATGAGCGTTGCATGCGGCGAGATGGAGACGGGGTGGCAGGGACGAAAGCGAACTGCGCCATTGCGACAAGACGAATATGATTTTTTTTTAATGGAGGTGGAGAACTGAGAGGAAAGTGCCTCTTTGGGTACGGCAAGAAGGAAATACTGGCAAAAGAAAAACAGAGCGGGAAGGGGAAGAAGGAAAAAGAAATGGTGGACGTCTTCGTGGCAGTTCAGGTCGTTGCCGCAGCCTGTCAGCCTGTGACAAGGCTGCCGGGCTTGGTACGATTACGAGGGACCGTGTGGAGATGCGGGCGTCTTGGGTTCCGGGCGGCGCATCGAGAGGTACTGGCGGGTTGTCTACCAGTATCATCCACAGCTTCTTATAAGACCTAGAAAAATGAAATTATCTACGATTACAGTCATGATTGAGATTGTCTTTGTCCCGTGCTTGTCGCTTACCTACGATGATGTTCGCAGTAGTCCAGAGTCGCAGTAATGACGCTGTGGTACAATCGCAAAGCGCTGTCTGCTCATGGGTTACCCTCCTCCCGGTTGCAGCGTGAAACAGTGCCGGCAAAGGCGCCCGGTCCCGAGAAGCCGGATACGCAAGCTGCAGAAGGAGTGGCAGCGTCGTAATCAAGCTGCTCATCCCGTCTGCAGGGGGGAAGTGATAGGGGCTTTCCGGGGGCCACAAGGGTTGGGTGCGTAGAATACAGGCGGCTGTAGCGTCCAAGCACCCAAGGTCGCTGCAAAACCTGTGTGCTATTAGTTGGCATGCTGCCCCTGTAACGGACCTGTGGCTGCAGGTCAATAGTGGGCTGCCCAAAGTACCTGCCTTTTGGCTGGGGATGACGCCAGTAAACTGCACCTCTATGATGATGCGAATGATGATAGTATAATCGTGTCGTGTGTATTCATGTCCTTTTGTACTGCAAGCTCTCATCTGTGTGGCACTGCGCAAGATATTGATAGGTAAGCCTGTGCCATGTTGGCAGCCACGTTGGCAGTTGGACAAGACATGCCCAAGGCTGTGTCCCTTTTTAATAATATTAAAGCTGACTGCTACCCCAAGTGCGCCCAGCAACCTTTTTTTCTTCTTCTCTTGCTGCGTCAAGAATGCGACGCTGAACCTCACGATTGAACACAAATACATCATCAGCCCCCGTCTTCTCACTCTTTGCTGCATCTTGACCATCATCTTTTCCTCCACTACTCATCATATACTTTTAGTCATTGCTGTGGGCGCTGATCACACCCACCACACGCCCCAACTCTCACGCCGCCTCCGCGTCCCGCCAAAAGTACAAACCTTCCAATTGGCGCCTGACTATTACTCGTCCCATCCATCCGCCTTTTCGACCTTGGACTTTCCACCGCGCCGTCTCTCCTTCTTTGCTCCCCTTTAGTGTGGCCGCCATTCCCTAATTCAAACTTGTCCCCCGCCTCGCTTCGCTCCTTGACGCTTTCTTGTTCTTCTTGCCACTTTTGTTACATCTCTTCTTCCTCGCATTTGTGTCACTCGCGCCGTCCCTCTATAGCTTCGCAAGCGTCATCGACGGGTCGTGCTACGCCAATACTACCGATCCCTCCCAACGGCTTAGACGAGACAGACACTTGACCGAATCACACATGTAACGGACCTTGATTCTCGACAAGATAGAAACCGCCCGCTTCAACACTACGGCCCCAAGCAATCCTCCACGACTGCATCTCTTCCCCTATTCGCCTCGCGATCACGACCCGACTCTCCACGGAAATGCCACCTGCCGCGATTCGCGACTCGGCCATGGTCAATGGAATAAGCACAAACGGTCACTTGCATGTCAACGGCAATGGCGTCACCAACGGCGGCTCTCATGCCGCCATGTCGAATCGCGCGAGCCCTTTGCGCAAACAGTCCAGCCCCATGGCCCCTGCTTTCATGGTCTCGGCCCCCGGCAAGGTCGTCTTCTTTGGCGAGCACTCTGTCGTCTACGGCAAGGTAATTCGACCCAGATTGACTCGGGAATACATCTGCTGACCTTGCTAGCCTGCCATTGCTGCTGCCATTTCTCTCCGATCCTATCTTCACGTCACCACACTCTCCAAATCACGACGGACCGTTTCTCTGCGATTCCCCGACATTGACCTGATCCACACGTGGAACATTGACGATCTGCCCTGGAGCATCTTCCACCGCGCCGACAAGAAAAAGTCATATTATTCTCTCGTTACGGAGCTAGACCCCGAGCTCATCGACGCCCTCCAGCCCCATCTAGACGTCGTCTCGCTCGACCACCCAGAAGAGACTCGCAAAGTCCATAAGAACACCGCCTCTGCCTTCCTCTATCTCTTCCTCTCGCTCGGCATGCCCTCATTTCATGGGTGCCTATACACTCTGCGCTCCACCATTCCCATTGGCGCTGGTCTCGGAAGCAGCGCCTCCATCTCCGTCTGCATGTCCGCCGCCCTGCTGCTCCAGCTGCGAACCCTCTCCGGCCCCCATCCCGACCAACCCCATGAAGAAGCTCGCCTACAGGTTGAGCGAATCAACCGATGGGCCTTTGTCTCCGAAATGTGCATTCACGGCAATCCATCTGGTGTCGACAACACTGTCGCCACGCAGGGCAAGGCAGTCGTCTTTCAACGCACTGATGATGCTCAGCCCCCGGCTGTCCGTCCTCTCTGGGACTTTCCCGAGTTGCCTCTCCTTCTAGTGGATACCAAACAGCCCAAGTCTACCGCCTACGAAGTCGCCAAGGTTCGCAAGCTCAGAGATGCTCACCCCAAGTTGGTGAATTCCATTCTCGATGCCATGGACCGTGTCACGCTGTCTGCTAGTGAAGTCATTGACCATGAGGATTTTGACGAGAAGAAGGAAGAGTCTTTGCAAAAGGTTGGCGAGCTGATGAACATTAATCACGGCCTTTTGGTGTCGCTTGGCGTCTCTCACCCGCGCCTGGAGCGTGTACGAGAGCTGATTGACCACGAAGGCATTGGCTGGACCAAGCTCACTGGTGCTGGCGGTGGTGGATGCTCTATTACTCTGCTGCGACCCGGTGTAGACAGGGCCAAGGTTGTCAAAATGGAGAAGCGCATGGAGGATGACAACTATGCCATGTTTGAGACGACGCTCGGCGGTGATGGTGTTGGTGTTCTTTGGCCCGCTGTTCTCAAAAATGGCACAGAAGAAGATGAAGAGGGTGGCATGGAGATTGATCTTGAAAAGTTCCTCAGCGCCGAAGACAACGACGGTGTCGAGAAGCTCGTGGGCGTGCACGGCGGCGGCCTCGAGCGTGAAGGCTGGAAGTTTTGGCGCATGGAGAGCAGATGAATCATGTCACGGCGTTTTGGGACCATGGGTAGGCGTAGGATGGATGGCCTGGGAATTCCTCGACATTTTTTTTTTTAATCATGTAAAACTTTACCTTGCGGTACTCTCTATTTTTTTTATATTCACACATGTATCTAGTTATCTTCTCTCCAATTTCTATACGCTTCATCGCATACGTTCCAATTCTTTCATTACTTGAAATGCAATTTCTCTCCCCTTTGTTGGATGAATATTCCTATAGGCTTCCTACATTATCCCTCCAACTTTTTACAATGCCAACTTTCTACAATGTCAACTTTCTCCAATGTCAATTTTCTACAACGTCTAAACTGATGATTACGACATGATCAAACGTGCAAACAAAGCCGTCCACGACAGCTGCAAAGTCGCACCGGCCTAGCAAGCCGCAGTGTTTGCAGAAACGCCGATGACACTACATCTGCATCTTCCGCTGACCTCGTACAGATCACACCAAAAAAAAATTCTCGGTATCACGGACGCCGAAGGGGAGGGGGGGAAAGAAGAGGCGTCCAGATTGTGCGAGAGCAAGCCGTACCACCAACCGCCTCTTCTCGTCTTACCCAACGCAAAGATTGCTGATCTTGCCACCGGCATGCAAGATTTTCTTCTCTCTCCTTGTCCCGCGGCTATTTAAGCAGCGATAGCCGTGGTAGTTTTTTTCGCTCGGCGCTCAGATTGTCTTCACTTTCGTTGCTTGCTTCATATGAGATTGCGGCGTCTGCGTTGCCTCTATACATAACATCAACTCTAATACTTGGAAACTTGTGTGTACTTCTCTGACAAGAACATCAAAGCCTGCACAGCAACAAGCTTGGATTCCTTCACAGCCACAATGAGCCAGCAGCAGCTTCCATTTGGCTACCTCTCCCATATTGACTCGTACATGGCCACCGTCAACGCCTTTACGGCTCCTCCGCAGCCACAGTCCGCTGCCCAACCCCCACTACCACCACCACCACCACCATCATCAGCACCGCTGACCACCACCACCGCCCTCGCCACCACTACCACCCTGCCCGACTGCTTTCGCACTCTCCGCTGCGATGGTTGCGAGATGCTCTTTGCCGAGGCCGCCCCCGACGAGCTCCGGTGGACGTTTCCCTGCCGCCACGTCTACTGCGTCGCGTGTGCGGCGCACGCCCGCGCCGCCGCCCTCCGCAGCAACGTCCTCTGCCACCGCTGCGCCAACATTATCGTGCGCAGGCTCGACAACCCGCCGTGCACGCACCAGATCCCCGCCGTCGCGTTTGACGTGCGCCGACCCGACGCGTTTCCAGGCTTTCCCGAGCGATACAAGCTGGCGCTCGGGCAGCGCACGGGGCCGAAATGTCAGCGGTGCTGGCTGGTGGCGCGGCTGCAGAGCGTGTCGTACAGGATCGCTCAGCGGTACAGGGTGCAGGATTGGGGATTTCCGGGGGAGCTGTACGCGTGCGTGCAGGTTGATAGGCAGCGGATGGTGCACGGCATGCGCGGGGAGCTGCCAGAGGTCGAGGTGGACGCGGAGGGGGATGTTGAGCTGTGCAGGACGGGCATCAGAGAGGAGCTGAGCCAGATTGCGTCGGATATCTGTGGCGGGTTGGGACAGGTGCCCATGGAGCCGAATTTTGATCCCAGAGGGCATATTGTGGTGCAGTACAGGCTGAGAGGCTTTGCACAGTGGATGAGCAAGAATGCAATCGATGTGAGGAGCATGCCGGTTGGCCTGCGGGCGGCCGTGTACGGGGAGTGGACATGAATGGGAGCGTTATTCTGACAACAGGTAAAAAGGGGCAGGAGGACGGGGCTCTGAGAGTGGTGTATATATGCAAGGCTTGCTCAAAGAGGGGTTGATGGTGTGTTGGCTCTCGAATAGTTGCTCTTACTGCATGATTGAATGAAGGTGGAAAAGGAAAAGAAAGGGTGTTGAAACTGGTCCAACATTCATGATCGAGGCGGCGGGACAAAGATGGGAAACAAGAAGAGGAGCATGTTTGAGCTTGCTTGTAATGTATATGATTTCATTTTACTTGATCAAAGGCAAATGATTTCTTCACAATGGCCATTCAACGCTCAATGTTGACCATATTTAGCTGTATTCGGCTTGTTCTTTTAGGCCAATTGCTGTGCTCTGTACTTCCAGTATCCCTCTCGGATCGGATCCCACTTCTCCGACAGCCGCTGCAGATACACCCTCGCCTTGTCCGTTTCGCCAGTCTCCGCATACACATCAGCCAGATAATCCAGCGCGTGCGAGCTCTTGACGCTTTCCTCATCGGTGCCCACCCCAGCAACGAGGCCCTCGGCCAGCGCCTGCTCGCTGGCTAGTGTCCTGCCCGCCTTTGCCAGCACCGCGCGCAGGTAGTTCCACGGGGACTGGTTCTGCGGCGTGAGCACAATCTTTTCCTTGGCGTAGTCTAGCTCCCTGGCGATGACGGCCGCGGGCACCGCAGGATCGTGCTCAGCGGGTCCGCAGCCAGGCGTCGAGGCGTCGGGATTCTGGAATACGAGGAAGAAGCGGTGCGACCAGGCTGAATTGTTGCGCACATCCTCCTCAATCAGGCTCTGCGTGGCGCCGAGCTCGCGCGGACCCCAGAGGTCGAGGCGCCGCACTAGGTACTGGCGATACGACCAGACGTGGTAATTCTTGGTGTCTTCTGCGAGCATAGTGGCGAGAAAGGTGGTCTCTGAACGCGCGAGAGCGGCAACAGCGGCCTCGTCGGAGAAGATGAGCGGGAAGTAGTGGTCAAGGAGGAGCTGGCGGTGGTGCCAGATTTGATAGTTTTTGAGGTTGTCGAGAGCGACGGCGTTGAGCCAGGTGATTTCGGCAGGAACAGAGAGCTCCAGAGCCTTGATAATCTGGAATCGGTAGAGCCACACGGTGTAGTGTGCGGGATTGAGGGCGATGATGTGCGCAGTGAGGCGGAGAGTGCGCGGTGAGTGCTCTTTGTCGACCATGACGGCGCGGAGATAGGCAACGGCTGACGGGGAAGTTAGACGGAATGCTGAGAGACACTGGATGGATGAAGAGGCTAGAACTCACCCTCTGCGTAGTCGTCGGGATATGCGATCCGCGCTACTGCGTCTTCGGGCTCCTCGTGCAGGATGGGAACGATATCATCCCATTCCGGGTCGCTGGCCAGGGAGCCAGTAATCTCTCCGTACAGTTCTCGATTCAGCTTCGCCATCTCTTTCCGTCTCGTCTTTTCCTTTTCGATCTCTTCTGCGTTTACGTCCCTTGTCGCTGCTTCTTCGTCCCCACGACGCTTTGCCGCTACAGCCAGGTCACGCTTCGTGCGAAACTGCTGAGAAAGCAGGCTTAGCGCCGTCAGCGTCGCCTGCTTGACGCTGCGCGCCTCGTGCTCCGCGAGCGAATACTCGCCGACGTCGCGGCCGGCCTTGTCGACACCCCAGGCGTAGTCGTCGCGCAGGCGGCGGATTGGCAGGCCCTCTTTTGAGACAGCCTTCCAGAACTCACGCTCCGTGCGGTTGCCAAGCGGGACGCGCTGCTGCGCAACGGGCTGCACGAGCTCGCTGTAGACAAAGGTCCTTTTTTCGGCGGGAGTCAGTGAGGACAGGCCCGAGGTCTGGACGCGTCCGGCGAGAGGATTCGTGGCGTGGAAGCGTTGCTGCGTGCGCTCCGCGACGGTGGCTGGCGGCTGTTGCTGCTGCGGTGGTTGTTCTGCGAGTGTGAGAAGATGGCAGGAGGAAGGGGGAAGAAAGGGAGGCGGAGGAAGGTACCTTTGGGATCGGAGGATGCCTTGACTGTGCCCTTGGGCTTGGGGGGCATGACGGCGTGGGCTATAGGATGAGAATTGGCGCGGTGAAGAGCTAATGTAGGAGGAGGACGTTGCTGGATGCTGGTGATGTTTGCTTTACCCCGCCAAAGTTTTTGGTGGGCCAGGGCGTTTAAGCCACGAAAGAACAATACGTAAATACGTCGATCGACACGGTCATGTTTGCTTGCTCAATATTTCAGATTGGTTCTGGTTCGATTTCTACCCGCGCTTGTTCAGGTCATCTGCTATCCCTGTTACGCTGAAATTCCCATTCATGACGCCACCCCCGGCTACTGCCATATCATCCATATTTCCAATACCACGAGCATCTCTCAGATGCTGTCCCTTTAACACCCGCCACGAAAGCCACGTTGTAAAGGCAGTCCCATTCTATCGGGCCCTCTGTCGGCAGCGCCTGCACCGCGTCGCCAGGAAGGCGACGACTTTCGTTCCGTGTGCACCATATCTCGCTCGCCCGCAAGTGCGGAAGGTGTCTGAGGATGCGCCGGACCATGTCTAGGATCTGGCGGTGCACGAGGAGCGTCTCGACGCCCCGGTGAACGCCCCAGCTCACCGCGACGAAGGACTCGTTCCAGCACACGTGGCGAATCTTGCGCGCATTGTCGCGCCCGAGCCGCCGGAACAGGGCGTCAACGCTCGCGACGGTGTTGCCCTGCGACCCAAAGTAGAAAGATAGGTCGAATTCGTTTTCTCGGTACAAGACGTCGACAGCCTCTTCGTAGACGGTCCTGCTGACTTGGAGAATCGAAAGATGAAGTTTTTCGGGGGGCTTCGTCGTACGCGCGTGGTTCGGTACGGTTCCTGCTCGATGTCGAATGTCCGAACCTAGCAGGGAAATATTACAGTGGCCATCTATTACAACGAGACCGCGATAGACGAATCGTCTGACCTCGAGCGGTAGTTTCATAAGCTCAAACATCTTGACTGCTGATGTCTAGCTCGAAGTGGAAGAAAAGACTGACTGTTGAAAGCCCAAGTGAGTAAAGGTGCCAGCTTTGTAGATGAAGAGTGTGAAATTGCCTTACAAGTCATATGGTGGCAGTCCTCTCTTTTATAAGATTTTCTTTTCCGCTTTCAAAACACGTCAACAATCCACTACTGATACCGTGAATCATGTCCTCTGCGGTGTAGCCATGTGTAACTACGCCAGTAGTATTTGTAACATGCAGATACGAGTCCGCCAAGCTTCGGATCAGACATGAGCATTGAAGAAGGCTGCAATAGGGTCAAACTAGTTTGTGCAGAAGGCAGTGTGTACCATCAATACGCATCATGTGTTGTCTTGAGTCGTTCCGGGGCATTTTTCGCCGACGACGCTTTCGGGAAAGAAGATGTACAGTTTCTGAGAACAGCCATCGAGCTATTTGAGTGAGGAATTCAGGTAAGATGGCAAGCTATCTGTTCTTTCATAGTGTAATAATTCGTGTTCGTTGTAGAAGAAGCTGGGCGGGGGATCCTCAGAGGTCCGAGACTGCTTGAGGTCAATATTTGCAAGACATACGAGACTGGATGCTGTTCAACCTCAACACAGCATGAAATTCAAACTTTTTGAAACGAGTTGGAACAGCATCGGAAGCATCCTGCGCGAGTCGTTCCCAGAGGCGGAACTTCAAGAGCGCACTGAAGAGTAACGCAAGGGTAACGCCAGCAAAGAATTATTGGAGAGGCAAACAATGACTACACTGCCAGCTGCTAATAAGTATGCATGCAGCGCAAATATCATCTTTGACAGTGAAGTGTCGTGCGGGTACTGGCGTCGTCACACCTGATCAACCCGAGCCTGCGTCACCTCGAGAGGTATTCAGGGCCATCACAATCTAAAGATGGTTCTGGACCTCGATAACACTCCAGAAAAAAGGTAGAAATCAATCCTTAGATTTAACGATGCTCAAGTCAAGTAAGCCCCCCATGGCGTCGAGCTTCTCCTGCTTGACCTCGACATAGCATCCCCAGCCACATTCCGACAGCCAACGCTGTAACAAATTTTGGAAGGTAATGAGGTACTTTAACCATTGTAGTGGTTCTGAGAAGCAATGCCTTGTCAGTGGCTGCATCGAGCGAGTGCGACTCTTTGCCATTGGCCAAGGAGTTACCCCAGGCTCCGGAGCGTGATCAAGCGTCTTGTCCCCACGATCCAACAAATCGAAAGTCCCGACGCTGGGCACGGTCAATTCCATACGAAAGAGAACATTATAGGCACAATATTGGCTCATGATTTACCCGCGGAAATTAGACATGTTCGTATATTACCTCTCACGAGGTAGGTGGACGGACCTGGTCGAGTGCAGCTGCGTAAGGTGTAGGTTGACAAAGAGTCAAGACCATAAGGCTGCTAGGACCAGAAAAAATGTAGTGATATGCGACACAGAAGGAACAATGGATTCATTTAATATGCCAGAGGTCATGAATTAGTCATTGTGTGATTACATCGTCGACACCCAATTATGCCTGATGGACATTGCTGGTCACTAGCTGTGACGCCAAGGGCCATTTCTCCGCAGTGGACGATAAAGTAATTAATGCCAATAATTTTTTAGCAGCGGTGAATCGTTGCCAAGCTTCCATCCTATTTTTCATGGTGAAGGAGGAGGATTCGGGTTTCGAAGGGGGTATAAAATGCAGCAGAGGCAGCCCCATGGACACTACCAATGCATGCCAACTTGTGTACTCGCCATGGGCTCGCTTTCATTCCATCGTCTTTATCCTGGCAGTTGCCAAAGCCAAACTAGTCGGAAGCATCTGCCGCTTTGTTGTTGGCCTTGTAAGTTGTGCTCTCGACAATCGGCTCGTCGCAGTCGCAGTCCAGGCAGGGCTGCTCATCCTTGAAGAACCAGTATCGCGACATGAGCGGGATAATGGCAGCGCACCAGACGCCCGTCGTGACGACCATGCCGATGCCAAAGATGTAGCCCTGAGCTTTTCGGAAATCGGGCGCCTGGTTGGTGGGAAACATGACCTGCTGTGCAGGCGCTTCAATGGCACTGCAAAAACATGTTTAGTGGTTGCGCTTTGCCCTAACAAGGGGAAACAAGGCCCAAGAACGTACTAGCCGACCGAAATCATCATGGCTGTGATGAATGAGCGTAGCTGCTTGTTACCTCCGCAACTGCAGTTGATCCAGCCACCCATGAGCGGGGAGAGGCCGCCGTATGAGCCGCCGATAAAGTACGCGGCCATGCGCAGGCTGGTATTCTCGGTATGCTTCAGAAGAACAATGTAGCTGAAGAGAAGGAAGCCGCAAAGCGTGGCGAGTGGTAAGGCTCGATTGTTTAGCGAATCAGCAGCGACGGAACTGATGAAGATGAAACAGAGTTGCTAGACATGGCATTAGCGCTGTCCAAGGACCATAGCTTCCACAGCAACTTACCATCACGCCAATGACGGTGGGAAGGGCTTGGACGTTTGTGGGAGAATAGTGTTCGGCCTTGAGCCACAAGCCCATCCAACGCATCATGTTGTTGCCGCACGTGAGTTCGATCCAGCTATGTGGTAATAATTAGCGCGGTGATTCGATGCAATATGCTGTAAAACCTACCCCCAGCCAATGACAAAGGCGTAAAGCTGCCATGAACGTAGAACCTGGCGAACAACATCCCACGTCCAGGCACCTACAGAGTCGCGCCCATCGCTTTTCATTCTGGCAATGGCGAGCGTCTTTTCGGTTTCTGTCATCCACCACATCTTTTTGCCCTTGGGCTCATCTATCCGAGGTCAGTGTGTGATGATGATGATGGATTCCAGTAGCCCGAAACGAAATATGCTTACCTGGGCAAACAAGAAAACCGAAAATGGCAACGGGAATACCCAAGATAAAGTCAAAGATGAAAAGCCAGCGCCACGAGACGAGGCCCGCTACACCATTCATATTTTTGTGTCTGGTGGCGCGAGTTGTTAGTATGTTGTCGTCGAGAGCGGCGACGAGAAGTGCTCACAGTCCGGCTTGAATGTAGCCCGAGCACATGGCTCCGAAAACCGAGGAGAAGAGAAACAGGCCGGTTCGTCGACTGATTTCAGACTTTTTGTACCAGCTTCCAATCTGTCACTGGTTAGCTTAGTTGCCTTATTAAGTCGATGAAATTGCTTACAATGTATAGACAGCCTGGGTAAGCACCCGCTTCAAAGAGACCACAGCAGAATCTAGTAAACCATGTCAGCAAAAGCGAGGACAAAACGACATGTTGAATAGAAAATGTTTCATACCTCAGACCATATAAGGTTTCGGCGTTTTGTGCTTTGTACATGAAGAGTACAAAGAAAGACCATCCCATGGTGCAAAATGGCAGCCAGTATCTTGGCTGTACCACGGTGAGCATGCATGTTGAGATTGGAGCCCCGATGATGACACCAATGCTAAAGTAGGTGGTAAACCAATTCAGCTCATTTTTGTGCCCTTGAAAAAGTGTTAGCAGAATTCAGGGTTGATTAAACTTTTGAAAAAAAGAACCCACCAAGGCCGAGTTCTTCTCTCATGCCACTCAGGTAGGCGTTTGTGACATTGGTTTGATCGAGATATTTAATGAAAAATGTCAGGCAGGTATACGTCAGAATGAAAAAGTCGAGTTTCCTGAGGAGCTTTCGCTCTTCTTTGCTGGCACCGGCATCATACCAGTGGTACCACCGTCTAACGATGGAGCGCTGGACCGGCTTCGACGTTGAGCTTTCCGTCACTTCCATGATGCAGACAGGGCAAACAGGCTGTTTGTCAAGTCTTTGGCTGGTAATGATGCTGGGGTTCGGCAAGATCAGCAAAGCAGGCAAAGTAGCCTGGCAACCTGGCCAGCCTGAACGTTATATGCGAACTCGACGCACCTTGATGGCCAACTCTCACGGAAATACCTAGCACATCTCGGCAAGACTGTGCCGGCTTGTCCTTGGCCAAGACACGGGTTTATATGCCAAAAATGGATCGATTCCAATCAGGCTGGGGGAGGGGGCCCAATCAGATACGTGCGCAAAAGCCCGCAACATATATCTGCTGCGGCCGCCGCATCCCCCAGCTGGACCTGGGACCTGCAATGGGACCCTGAGAGTTGACTCGCAGCAAACGAATCCGCCCATGGCGTGGAAATTTCTTCAATGCAAGCTGACTATTTGCAAAGTGTGGCTAAATATCATGTACACCCTTTATGGAATATTGACGAGGCGCAGCTTCAGCACGGCCCATGATGGCGCGGATCTTGGGCCAAAACGGATTGGCCTCGGCCGGCCGTGATTCTCGGCCAACTATTGATGGAGTTGCCACGCGAGTTTGTCTCTCTTTTGCAACGTTTTCAATTAGGACAAAGTAAAGACGCATGAGGCTGCAGCCACCAGCTTATTTTAAACTCTATCGTTTTGCCTTGAATCCTTGATGACATTATCCCGGTATTCCTCGCATTGAAAAATGTTGCGCCCGGCCGGATCCGGCACAATCATTGGCGCGTTGCTCAGCCAGTGCGGGTCATGTATCGTATTTTTTTTTATAAAGTAGTCCAGAACCAACATGGAAACCTCTACTCGCAACTCTCTCTGAAGTAAACTGATTTTCTCGGTTCTGCTTTATTGTCCTGGACAACGTTGCGTGCAGAGCTCTGTGCATCTGTTGGTGGCTTCTGCATCAAAAAGGCTGGTGAAATGGTTTCATCACCGCGAGTCTCCACAAAGGGAAAACTCGCCGACGTGGAATTTCAGCATGAAAATAGTGGATAATTAATCAATAAATATCTGATGCAGATAACCTGCGGCCGCACCCTTCCTGATCCTGGCCCTGCAATGGGACCATGGGGGCGCCGGGGGCTAGTTTGCGTTGACTAATTACTAACATTCAACCTGCGACGGGGTGAAAACTCTTACATGCAGCACTCGAGGCCAATTGAGCAAGAAATATGTCGTCTTTTTCGTAATACTGAGTCGTCTTTGTCACGACAGCCATGGAGCTCACCCAGGCATGACTGCTGAGAAGCATTACTTGGTAGACAAGACAAAATAGGCACTGGAATCCAGAGCGTCATTTAGAAAAGGCGATTTTTTTCGTCATGAGTCGTGCCTCGTTCAATCTGATTCTTTCAACGTTCTGTTTGTTCTCCTCTGCCTCCCCACAAACTGCACGACGTCTGCTAGTCTTTGGCTTGTATGTACACGGCGAAGAGATGGGGCGGGTTGAATGCAGTGACCATCCAACCAGCCAGCCCCGACAGGCCGCTTCCTTGCTCATAATTAGCACAATAGGCACTTATAGGAGGTCAGTCCCCTGACCATGAAGGTGGCTTTGGAAAAAAATGAAGCCCTCTTCTTACCATCTCTGGTCAATGAACCTGTGCCGCATAGCCGCCATCATTTCGTCAAGGATCAACGACGACCCGTGATGGATTGATGGTGTTTTTGAGCGATGAACATTTTTCCCTGTCAAACTGTCATCAGCTACCGCATCTCTTAACTAGAACATTCAGATACGAAAAGCCTCGGAACTCCCTTCTTACTTGTGCTCGATCTCACGAGAGTATGGATCCAAGTCCACAATTCGCTGCTGCAGGACCCCATCGCCACCCCATAGATGCTGATGGCCAAGGCGGGCGGACCTACAGCCCAGAGTTGTTTCGATTCCACCTCGCTAAACATGAGAGATTATTAGCGTCCGCTGTTGTGGCTGGGAACTCTCACGCTAGAGCCCGAAAAGCGCATTGGCCTTTTTGCAATTCCAAAGAACGCATACAACTCACAAGAGGAATTTCACCAGTGAAGAAATTGAAGAAATCTTCCAGAGAATGTGGATAACTTGATATACTAAAGAACCATCCACCCACGCCCGCGTATCTTTTACCCCTACAAAGTGATAAAGTTCAATATCAGACCGGCCAGAGTAAGCTTTGACAGCTCAACCCACAGACTCAAGAAGAGAAAAAAAAAACAAAGACCAAATGGAATTTTTTTTTCATCTGCCTCTATACCTGATGATAGAGGTCGCGCAACAGAGCACCTTTCAGCAACGTTGCGTCCCGGGGCTTGAAATACAGCCCCGTCGGCCGAGGGGCCATGGCTTGGTGAGCAGGGTCCTCGCATCCCGTGATTGGGTCCGCGTCGATGCCAGGCCCGGCGCAAATCTCAAACGATGCAATCAGACGAGTAAAGAGCGTGTACATGACATGGTTCGCTAGCGTGTACCCCGCACACATTCGATAGCCAAGGCCGTAACTAAAGATGGGCTGATCGGGGTCTTCAAACCAGCGCTCGGGCCGAAACGTATCAGGATCGCGGAATAAGTTGGGGTCTAAATTTCATCATTGCCTGTCAGTAAACATGCTCATGTTTTTTCATCGCGTGTGAAACGTGGGGAGAAAGATGTATACCTCTGTTGCATGCAAATGTGTTGATGACGACTGTGCTCCCCTCGGGTATAACCTTGCCTTGATACACAATGGGCTGGACTGCCAAACGAGGCAACGCCAACCGCGACGGAGTGTAAAACCTATTTACATTGTCAGACTCATCACCCAAAAGTTACCCGGTATGGCTTGGAGGAGGCGTACCTGAGAATCTCGCGCACCAAAGCGCTGATATAGGGTACGTCCTCGGTATCCCGCAGACCGGATCCGAAAGCTTGGCCAACATCTGGGTACGCCTTCTGGATGTGGTGTAGGGCAGTTTCCTGGATATCTGGTCTGGTGGCCAAAAGAATTAGGCCCCAGTAAATGGTGTTGCTCTCCGTCGCCAAACCGCCCGAAAGAAATGTGAGAAGAACCGTCGAGAGCTCGCTCAAAGGAAGAGGGTGTGCAGAGGCCTCATTCTTGGCCCACAGACACTGCTCATTCGTATTGTTGCGCATCTTGTTCTTGACTTCCTCATTCAGCTGTCTGACGTAGGCGTCGCGCCGCTCGCAGAGCTTGACAGCCGCCCCGCGGTAGCGGTTAAAGGGCCACACGCGCAGCATAGGAACAAAATCTTGTAAATTGTCCGTCATGCTTCGTAGTTTCAGAATTTCATGCTCCACCTCGATGATTTCCTGCGTCAATGGATCGCCAAGATACATCCGTCGGCCGTAGCAAATGGACATGGAGAGGCTCAAGGCCAGTCTTTTCACAAGCTTGGACACATGAAGCGGGGTCAAGCCTTCGCTGCCGTAGCTCAGGAGCTCATGTACAAAATGTCTTGTTTCAAGATCAATCTTGTCCAGATTGGCCTTGACAGCCGGCTTGCTGAGCTCCGCTGCCGTGGCTTTCCGACCTCGCTTCAATGCATCACCGTAGACCGCAGTGCCAATGGTCGGCCCCAAAGTGCCAGCAATGAACTATAATCATGTTAGACAAGGGTTTTCATTGATGGCATATCAATTGATGAAGAGAACTGGAACAGTAGAGTTTTTCCGCGTGTAATAGTGGAAAAATTGTAGAGAGCGTGAACCTACTTGATGAAACGTGTGGAAGATGGGCCGCGAGGAGAGTGCCGCAGCGCTGCCAGTAAAGATCTCCTTGGCCGAGGCCGCCGAGTTGACAACAATGACCGGCATGTTTCCGAATTTAACCTGAATCACATCGCCAAGCTGCTTGGACCAGAGAAGGAACTGCTTCTCAGCATGGCAACGATACAGTGAGGGCAGATTGCCGACAATAGGCCATGGCCGAGGACCGGGAAAGTTGGCAGTTGATGACGACTTCAAGACCAGAGCCAGATAGATTGCCACGCAAGCAATCAATGGCCGAATAAAACTAAAGATGGATAGTTCTGGCCAAGAGAGCTGGTGGAATCGATGAGGCAGTTGAACGACAAGGTCCGGCAGGGGCTGGAATACTTCAAAGATCTCCATGGCAGAGACTCGGCCAGTACTGAACTGACAACTTGAGTAATCAGAAACGGAGATGCAGTTTTCGATTCGTAAAGATGTGATTGGGAGACGATGACGTGCGACTGTGGTTTCTCTGATTTTATACCACCGTTTTCTTGTCTTTCTTTAGTGGGAAATTGTACAGGGAAAAAGGCAGCCAGCCCAGCTTCGGAGAGGTCGAGACAACAAAGAGTAAGAGGAAATTAACGAGAAGCAATGGATAAATTAAAAAAAAAAAAAGAGAATTCAACAATTAAACATTCTCGTGCGCATCTTTGCATGTATTCCCGAATTAAAACAGTTGATCCTAATTTGTTGCCGCTTTTAGAGCTGCTGCTGTCAGTCCGGGGGTGTAAGATCGGACAGGGCGTGTGCATACGCTTCCATGCGCAACCCATTAACTTGGTCTGACGGGTGGGGGGGAGTGAGAGTTGACCTGAGACAAAACTCTTATGTGGCGAGCTGGATCGGCATAGTGTTACAGTTCTATATATTGAATAAGACGTCAAACATTGGCCTTGGGACGGCCGGCACTAAAAGACCGCGGGCAGGGCCGATTGTCGGCGTCGTGTCTTGCAGGTGTTGCCGAAGAATCGGGGAGCAGCGGTGAAGGCCTGTTTCGGACGTATCTAGCGAAAAGTTTTGTTCGAAAAAAAGGAAGTATGAAGTGATGATGAGCAACACAACGGGTTTACGAGTCTGCTACTCCGTACTTGGCATCCTGTCAGCATGCTTGCTTGTGTCCCGGCCATTCCGGCCGTACACTTCATTCCGATGAGTTGAGGCTGTGAAGCAGTACATGTATGCACAAAGAGCATAACTTGTACAATGAATGGTGACTTATTGAAAGTTTCTGATCAGAGAAATGAACTACGGTTTAGGTGTAGTAATACAAGTGGTAACTTCAATAAACTGTCATCAACTTATACTGCACCACTGCCTACTCTGGCTTCAAAGACACGGCGTTATAGCTGATCTGTAAGACTAGGTCGCAATACCGTAGCAATTTTGCTCAGGACCGGCATGTTTGGAGAGGAAAAGTTTCCCTCGGCAGGCAGATCGACGAGCTCGACACCATGCTGGAACAGCAAGCAGTAGCTGGAGCCGCCAAAATGAAAGGACCCCATCTCATCGCCCTTTTTGACATGCTGTCCTGGCTCAACCGTAATCTCGCATGTGCTAATTTCCACCATGCCGACCGCGACAAAGGCGACAAGTCCCAGGCCCGGCTCGTCGGCCTCGATGATGATGACGGCCCGCGTGGCCATTTCGCTCAGATATCGCATAGCGTGCCCGAACCCCTGCGGCTTCCTGGGAAAAGTGACGCCAGGCTGATCGGCAGCAAAGAAGCGCGGGAGGCTGTAGTACGTGCCGTCGACGACGTAGGCGCTGTGAATCGTGCCCGAGATGGGCGCGTGCCAGCGGTGGTACGAGTGCATGCTCAAAAAGGCCTGGTACACTGTGGAATCGTCGAATTTCTCGGCAATTGGATTGTGTCCCAGCATATCAAGAACAGAGTACGGCTGATCCTTGATGAAGAAGGTGTCGCGGAGCTTTGCCTTCATACCGACTGTGTGAGGGACGGATTCGCAGGCGTTGACGATGACGCTATCGTCGTCGGCTTCAGCGACTGGTCGCATATGCGGCCGGAAGCGTCGAGTGAAGAAGTCTAGAAAAGTGCATATTAGAAAATAAACAAAATATAGTCTGCGAGTTTTTATATTACCATCCCAGGAGCGGAAGCCGTAGTATTTATCCTGGGCATCACACTCAAACAGTTCCGCAAAGCTCGATGGCTTGCCGACTTCGAGGTTGGCAACTTGCTCTAGCTCTGCTAGCGAATTCTTGTCAAGCCAGCCATCAACGCCATTTTGGACGAATGGGAGTGAGTCGGCGCTCTGTAAACGAGATTAGATTTGAACATTGGACCGCCATTCATGTCGCATCAGTCAGTCAACCGTGAAACTAGCAACGTACCCCGAGAAAGTCTGCCCACTCGTTCAAGATACCTTTGATCAGGACATTGACCTCTGGGTCCGAGAAAGCAGCAAGGCCACTATTTGCATTGTCGTGTTAAAAGAATTAATTCTGGAGCCTCAAGCGAGACAATTGATGCCTACCTCGCAGTATTTGCTGGATTCGTGAGGATCAAAGCCATAGGCGGCACGGGTATCCCCAACCCCGGGGGCGGCGCCGTTTTGACAATGTGGCTCAAAAGCTGCAGCATGTGATTATAGTCGCGAACGACGGTCTGATTGTGTCCCTGTTGCTCTTGGGGGGGAATTTCCGTAAACATTTCGGTAAAGTGCATGTACAAGTGCGACTTGGCCTCGATGGCGTCCTTGAGGCGCTGGGTCGCGGGTGACAGTCTCTGCTCAGGCTGGGCGTCAACCTGGGCAACCAGCTGCCGAAGATAGCGTACGTGCATTTCGTGATCAAGATATGGCCAAGTCCTGTTGCATCTGGCGATTAGAAAGAAAGACTACAAACGCAAGGTAAAAGGTAGTTAGTTGGTTGGTATTTCCATACTGCGGTTCGACTGTGCTAGTTGCCTCGGAAGAAGAGCTGCCATCCTTTGAGAGAAGGAACTTTTGGTCGGACGCAAAAGACAAATAGTTCCAACTCGTCACTAGTATGTACGCAATCATGATTGTCCAGAGAAGGGCTCGCCCCTTTGCTGCTCTGTCCATTGAATCCATCGTGGCGGATGATGGAAGCACGTTGAGGAATGCGACGGACGCTTGATGGTGCTACAGCAAAGAAAGTTCAGCAAGCTTCAGACGTTTATGCTAATTAATGGAAAAGGACCTGTATTTATCACTTGCAAGGCACGGCTGCAGCGGCTGATGCAAGACATGCATGTCCCATTGGCTACGGAGTCTTGTCACCCCGCGCTCGGCGCCGCTCCAGTGACTTGCGATTTTTTTTCAGGGAACCTAATAGGCCTGTCGCTCACTATAATTCCAAGCTGGTGCTTGCTTCTCACGATTAGTTGAACGGGCAGAATGTCCGTGAAAGAGCATAAATTTAGGACTCGATTGTAGAAACTCACGTCAATAAATATAGAAGACAGATCTCAAATCATCATACTGCTATACAAGTTTTACACCCATCTATTCCCATGACGCGCAATTCTTGCCCATCGCGTGGGATGCCGCTACGGCAATGACCACCTTGCACTCTAATAGTACTGGTCAAACTGTTTGATTGAGTCGCTTCGTTAGGAGTCCATCGATAGAAGCGTACGCGTCTTCACCCGATGCGTGTTTCTCATTGTCCTTTTCCTTGTCATCCAAAACAGAGAGGGCAGCCGTCATTGGCACTCTCTCTGGTGCGGGGGCAGAGAGGAATCGAACGGCTCGCACTTTGTGTACGCCTCGAAATGTCTGCAAAAAAAAAAAAAAAAAAAATAAATCAATTTAGCCATATTCAGTTACGTAAAAGGCGGAAGCAACTTACTCGCATTTGCTTGACAATGCGCTCCATGACTTCGATAATGGCCAAGTCCTCGGGTGAGCCGCTCTTGGCCAGCTGAGGTCGAAAGCAATACTTGTTCATCATTGCAGACACATTTCGCATGTTTCTGGAAATGTGCATCTTGGCTTCATCTTTGGAGTGATAGGTCTTCATTCCGAGAAACGCATCCACGGCCAGGAAGATGAGCGTCTGACTACCAGACAGCCCACCATACTCTACTGGGCCATTTTCCGAGTCTGATGTCAGGCCCCAGCTGTGTATTCCCGATACATGACGGACCCAGATGGCACGGGAGACATTGGGATCGTTCATGTTGTCATATAGATAGAGAATGAGCTGCCGAAGATGTTCAAACACGGCTTCGGTGTAGCCAAGGCAGGCTCTTTTGTCACCCTGCTGGTAGCTCATCATGGCTCGGATGATGCCGCAGTACATTGGCGTGGCCTACATGATGCAAAGAAAAAAGCACCAGTCAGCTTTCTACAAACATAGTTATGGCCATGTGTAGATTTGTAACTTACCAGAGTCTCAGACTTGCTAAAGATCTTGCACCAAGCAAGCTCAGTTCGCAGTACATCGGCAGACAAGCCTTCATTGACCCGATAGGTAAGTTTGCCTTGAGCATCAAAGTTGCAAAGAATGTTTGCTACAGCGTTTCCGCTCGGCGAAGTAATGTCGAGTTTCTTTTGAATAAAAGACCATGCCAGGTCCAGTTCAGGCGGGAATGCCAACCGCTTTTCGTTTTGGGCCACTCGAACGACCGGATTAGTTGCCCATCTGTGCGTGTCGCAATTGAACGAATATTAGCTCGACAACAACTAGTTGAGATGATATCTTCTGAGAAACGTACCGATAGGCGTGTCGAAGGCAGGCAACGCAAGAATAAAAGCCATTGAAAGAGTCGCGGCTCAGCTCGCTCCAATCGTCATCCAAGACGGGCTGGAGACTCTTGGCGACAGCATCGGCATCCACATGCTGCTCAAGGCTTGCACGCATGCGCGTACGAAACTCGGCGCATCTCTTGAGATTGAACTCGTCATCGAGCGATGGCTCCGGAGTTGCCAGATGGCGCGCAACTTCAGCATATACTCTGCTGTATGCGCTCAGGGCAGCGGGCCAGTTGTGATGACGGGCCACTGGCGGCCAGCTTCCCGCACCATCGTCGCGAACGAGCTTCAGAAACTCACTTCGCAGCTCGTGATTCACATTGAGCGCTTTCAGATTGTCGAGTCCGATTTCTGGAAGCACTTTCTGGGGTGCTGGCTGGCAATACCAGTTTCGCCAAGTATAGACGAGACCAGCGACTGCCAAGAGCACGGCTACACTCAAAAGACTAATCATTGCGACTGGGGGAATTCAATTGAACCGCAACAGTTGTCAAAGTTGAATTGGGAGTGCTCAAAGAGTAATGTAGATGGCAAAAAGTTGATAGAGACTTCAACTCTTGGACTGACCACAGCCAAAGCAGCTGTGCAAGCTACATGCGCAGATACACGCACGGTCGGCCCATCGCCATACGAGGCATGATCAACAGCTGCTCAGCCAGTGGCTGGCTTGACCGAAATTGGTAACCTCCGAAACATTCATGAATTCTTATTACCATTATCAGCCATCCAAATTTCTCTCAACGACTCTCAAACACGCATTGCATTCTTACCTCGCTTCTTTTTTAGTTGTTGCTTCTGCGGATCATCCTATCCATTTCGTTAATCCCACACCATTGAGCGACGGTCCGCCAGTCTTCAGCCTTAAGACATGCTAATATTGGGCGTGTAAATCCTGGTCGAATATAAATTAGTTACTACTAGCCCCCAAACGCCTCAGTCTGCATGGGTCTGTCTCCCTCTGCCACCCCCCTCTACCTTCACTGGTAGTGTCTGGCATCTGTCAAGCTCCGATTGGTAGAGACATGTCTTGAAAAAAACAATGCTTGCTGCCTAATAAACCGCCCGGGATTCATCCTTCGGCAGGCCTCGGCCCGGCTACTATAATATAAAACCTCTTTTTGGCCATGATGGCGAAAATCGTACGGTAATCGATGTCATTGTTACAGCCTATGCAAACTAACTAATAGATGTGAACCCCGGGCTGTACCTGCAAATGCAAGGTTTACGGATGCAAACGCCGACTATGCAGTCGCGATGATTCCCTCGCATTGGACACTGGGGGGTGGTGTCTCTGGCGTGAACCAATCTCTTCCGCAGTCTCCATCGTAAAAAAAGTCCTCAATGACCTGTCTCTTGACAGGCTTTCCAGTGGCCGTCATCGGCAGTTCCTCGTCCTGCCCGAGGATCCGCATTACCACGGGACGCTTCGCTTCCTCCAGCTTGGTCGCGAGGTCCGATCGTACTCGGGAAATGCTCAATCCAGCTCTGTGACTCTGCTTGGGGCGCACAATAGCTCCACAGAGCTGAATTGATTCAGACACTGGTACTGCGACGACAGTAGCCTCTTCAAAGTACCCAAGTGCCATCAGCGCGCGCTCCACCTCGACCGCCGAGATTATGGAATTGCCACGTATGATATCTGCCATAGTGTTAGTCATAGGAGCAAAGTTGTGAATGAATGATGCAGCATCTTACAGTCATCTCGCTCGCGGCCATGGAAAATGAGCTCGTCTCCGACTAGCTCGGCAATGTCGCCCGTCTTGTAGAAGCCCTCATCATCAAAGGCTGCCTTTGTCTTTTCTTGGTCGCCCAAGTAGCTAAACAAGGCGCAAATTAGTTTACGATTCCTTTTTCTTTTACGAGTAGAACTCGATTAAAGTCACATCTTACCAGAGAAATCTGTCAGGGCTCTTGATAAAAAGTCGGCCATGTGTTCCCTCGGAGAGCTTCACCTCGACTCCGGGAGCAATCTTGCCCAAGGATCCCTGATAAGACGTCAGTAGTTAGACAACGAGTTTTCAAGTTCAAACAATTGTCACTACGAACCTTGATATTAGATATTCCTAGAGTCGGCAATCCCCCAAGCTCGGTTGAGCCATACCTGTTCTGGAAAGGGCATCCAAGGACCTCTGTCCAAAAGTCCACTGTGTCCTGGTCAACCAAGCCGCCAATGCTGAGGAAATAGGTAATACCGCCAAAGTATTTTGAAAAGTCCTTCTTCTTCTCTGGTGTGAAATCCCCGTTTTCTTCAAGGAGCAACTGCCGTATACCACGCAGCAGTGCAGGGTTGAACACAAAGTGTGTAATATGATGGTTCTTGAACTTGTCAAAAACGTCGGCCGAGGAAGCGGGCGTATTAAGAGCGAATACTGTTTTGCAGGTCAAGAGACCGTCAATGATGTTTTTAGTGCCTCCAAGCCAGTGACTAGCATTGTAGTTGACGACAGCACTTTCGCCCTGCTCGAGAGGGCCGGCAGCAAAACAGTATCGGCGAAGGACTACGCCTTTGGAGTATCCGGTGGTTCCAGAGGTGAAAACGACAAAGCCTGGTCCGTCAGGGTCCAACTCCGTTCCTTGGCTGATGGATATGCTGTCAAGAAATACTCCTGGCTGATTGAAGGAAATCGGCACGATACGCAGTGACTTTCCGCTGCTACTCTGAACATGATGAATGATTTTCTCCACGTCTGCGACGCTGCCACGATCAGCGAGGATACAGTTAGAGTTGACCTTGGTAAGTGTGTCCGCTCTGCGCTCGAGCGAGGCGGCAGCATCTGGCGGGACAAATTAGCGGTGAGCGCAATAATCACAATTGGTGTAGAATACTTACCCAGAGGAACGAATGTGCCGCCAAGTGCCCGAATCGCAAAAAATGCGACCGCAAACTCGTAGCCAGTCTTGGTACAGGCTGTCTGATAGAGGTGATCGTCGTTGAGCAGTCCCTTTTCGTTGAAGAATGTCACAGGGAGGATCGATTCAAGCTGGCTTCTCGTATACAAGATATCGGCAAGCAGCTCCGGGTATGTCTTCTGTAAACCGTACAGGTCGTAGATGATGATTCGAGATTGGGGTGCTGCTCTAGCGGCGTTGAGCAGCTTGACTAGCAGAGGGTCCTGAGGGAAGGAAGGCATCATGTCAGAAACAAGACTTGGTCAAGGTGATACTGTGATGAAACGATGAAAATGCGTAGAGAAAGTGCTCAAGGTTGGAAAAATATTCTAGGGTTGAGGAGGATCAAAAGCCTTACGAGGGGCTGCAGAGGAGGCCACCCGAAGTATTACACAATTGCACGTGCAATGCACAGCTGCATAGAGCTCATCACCCCTCGCAATTTACTTGACGAGACATGTATTGCGGATAAAAATTCAACTATATTTATGAAATCGACTACGATGGACCCTTTTGCGGTGTCTTGTGTGTATTCAAGGTTCAGTCTGGCTATTCTGCAGATGCGAACGAGATATTATTCATCTTGGACCAACTTTTCAGGCTCGCTTCGCCTCTCGACAATCTGCATCGTGATGTTGTCCGGCATAACCAAAGCAGCCTAGAGAAGGATTAGTATTTATGTGAGTCCACGGTATTCTTCAAAAAAAAAAAAAAAAAGTACCTTGCCGTAGGCAAACGTGTAGCCTTCCGGGTGCTTCCACTCAATGTTGCGTACAAGCTCACACAAGGTGGACTGCAGCATTTGCATGGCAATATTGAAGCCCAGGCACTTTCTTCCATAAATACCGAATGGAAGATATTGGCCACGAGCCTGCCTCTGGCGCAGCATCTGCTTGACGCTGGCCGAGTCCTTGCCCCAGCGAAAAGGGTCAAACTTGCGAGCAGTCTCTCCCCACACGTGAGGATCAGTCTGAATGCCGTATGCATGCCAGCCCAGCATCATGCCCTTGGGAACAGCAATGTCCTCACCCAGCACGTACGGCTCGGTTGCGATGCGGTTCGACATGTGGCCAAGCGGCGGATAGAGGCGCAGTGCCTCGTAAATGACGGCATTCAGAAGCGGAAGCTGGTCCAGGTCCTTGAAGGAATAGTCCCAGGGGATCGCCTGAGTAACCTCCTCTCGGAGAAGCTGCTGGATGTGCGGATTGGCCCCGAGCTCCTCCATGGCCGAGTTGAGCGTCGTTTCCACATTTTCGTGGCCGGCAATGAAGAGCTGTTTGTGGTTGCATTGGTAGTGGTACTCGGACATGAGATTCTGCTCACGTGCGCGGTGAAGACTGAAACCGATCTTGTTCTCGCCATCAGGAGGGGGTGGCGATCTGCATCTGTCTTCTGCCAGTCGAAGAAGTCTCGATTGGACCTCATGCAACAGCCTGTCGGAATGGGCGGTAACGGGCCACTTGAAAGGAAGGTTGTCCAAGAAGGGGAAAAGGCCTTTTAATCTTCCCATGAACTTTCGGTTCTGTACCCCGAGGATCTGCTGGATGTTGAATGTTCGGTAATCCATGTTGTTGTCGAACTGAGCATCCAGGAAATATTCGCCCCAGACAGAGAGCGCCCAGCGCCAGACAGGAGGACCAATTAAAACACCGCAGTTTTGGCCCTCGATGTTGGACTGGCTCTTAAGAAGCTTCTGTGCAAGATCTCTGCCTTTTTGGCGGAACGAGTCTAGTGGTGCGGGAAGACAAAAGCCTTCTTTGAGAAGCTTGCGGAACGTCACGTACTGTTCGCCATCCGAGTCGATGATGTTGATGCCAAAGAGCTTTGCGCCGCTGCCCCAGGGGATTCTTTCGGCAAGTCCCATTTTGTTTAGTTTTCGGTCGCTGTTTCTGAAGATTTGCACCAGATACTCTGGCTTTGTCACCAGAATCGTCCAGGCGCCCTCATTCCAAAAGGCCACCACGCCATGCTTCTCGATAAGGTCTCGAACAAGCCGATTATACACATCAGACTTGGATGCTCCCCTGAGTACAATGTAGAAATGTTTCCACAGAGGCACTCTAGGGATGTTTCGTGGAAAGTTTCGTGGCATTGCTGTTCCGTACGCCACGGCGCCGACGACGGCAGCAATGATGCCGAGGACTATCCACATGTTGGTGGATATATCGCTGAGAGCTTCAATGAGGGGAGATTGAGACGAGGTCATCTTGCCAAGATCCTCCAGCGTACAGATGATGATGGAAAACAGGCAGCAGTTGTTCAGGGTCAATGAGTAACTATGTTTGAGGACTGCTGTGAGCCGTAGCGCGCGCCAATGGCTAAATGAGTGTAGACAGCTCTGTAAAAGATGTTCTGATCTAACTCGTTTATCCAACGAAAGGGTTGTGTGCTGTGAGCTATCCGTTTTCAAAGCTCCGTGAGCGGAGCTGTCTTTGCACTCGGTTGGGGGAGGGGTCGCAACGGGTATCCGTCCGATAGTAATTCCGCTGCAGACGGAAAATTGGCAACTAGAAGGATTTGCTTTCTTTGGAATAAGTATCCGAGACCGAATGTCTAGTTGAGGCCACGGAGCCTAGCTGCAGCTGAAAGCTGAGGGTGTAACAGTAATGTCTAGAGGGTCACTAATAAGACTGTAAGACATGAAGCGGAGAGACCAGCGCGCCGCTCTTCAAGTGCCTTATCTGTCATCCACCTTCGGTCTGCCACCTTTTTGGTACAATTCTTCTCCCCAATTCCCTGATGCTGCATTTCGATCCGCTCCCATGCATAACGCTGGATTCGCTTGTGGGGGAGAGGGCGTGTGTAGGCGGGGAGGTGTGCGCCCAGATTTGACAAACCCAAACTTGCCCAACCCAAAGAGATGTACCCTGGAAGTACCACGGCGGGAAGCAGGTTGCAGTAGCCCTCTCGTCAAGGAAGAGTAGCGCAATATGCCAGCACACTGAGTCTGTCTCGGCGCTCAGCGGTTGGTGGCGTCTTGTCGGCAATTCATTCTTCAACCACCCATCCAGTTAGCTGTGTGCGAGGTCATGGTCCCCGGAGAGCCCTGTAATTGCGGTCGGTGGCGCTGAAACTAGAAATTGCGGCGAGCAAGGAGAGATTTCGGCTTGCACAAAGACACAAAGTATTGAGTATTATGACGTATATCTCGGATCTTGGGCTGCGTGGCAATGTGCACACCTGTAATTCGCATTCTTTAGTTGGAGCATGCACTGTTGAGTCGCGGTGCGCAGCGACGAGTGTCGCATTTGACAGCTTTACCTTTACCATTCTCTCAAGACCCTGCCTGCCTGAGCTGACCCTTTGCCAATCACGTTAGGTCCTAGCTGGCAACAATCACAGGTCCTACCGAGCATCGATCAACCACAAACAAGAACTGCTTGCTCAATCCTGATTGCATCAAAAGTTGCGCAAAAGCTCTTCTTTCCAAAAATGCCGCTGCCAGACGTCTCCGATGTTTGGTTTCTTGTGGCCTCGGCCGGAGGTCTAGGCATTTCCGGCTTGTTACTGGCGTCTCGACTCACGACATGCACAGCTGCTTTTGCGCAATTGCGTCGGCCAAAACCGCATGATAATTGGTACGAAGACGAGGATGGCAAGAGTACACCAGAGTCAATGGCAAGATTCTCAAACAAAACTCCAAAGCTGCTGTGTCTATTTCTCGCTGCTGTTGCTTTTGGGGCATCCGTGGCAGTATCTGTGCTCACCACCCTGCACCTGGAGTCCCGGAATGGCAAAATTTCTTGCTGGCTTTTGACAATTGGCTGGGTGAGTGAAGATCTTTTTCTGTAATTGTATCGTGCGCAGCTTGGCATTCTCTCTTCTTTATATACTGACAAAAAGACAGGCAGTTATATTGACCCAATCAGTCTCCATCCGCCTTGACGTTGCCCCTGTACAATGTTACGAGGCAGCTCTACGAGTCGCCGCCTCTGCAGTCGCAATCGCACCAGCAATTATTTTCCAAGGGCTCTTTCTCATAAATCAGCCCCTCGTCTCGAGGCGCGTCATTCTTAGTCTGATTGCTGGCAACGCATTTCTCTGCCCATGCGTTGTCCTCACTGGGCTCTTGTTTCCAAGACGTCCCCAAGTGTACTACAATGGCCGAAGAGTTTCTGCTGAGCAGACTGTGAGCGCACTTCAGAAGGCCTTTTTTTTCTGGATGCAGCCACTGATTAGGACAGCCGCACGGCACGGCGACCTGAACCATGACGACGTTCCGTCGATTGAAAACTATGCGCGGGCCAGCCACTTGACGATGCAATGGATCCGTGCAAACCACAAAGGAAACCTCGTCAAGTCGCTTTTCAGCACGTACTGGAGAGAACTGATGCTTCTTTGGGTTAGCGTCCTCATCCGATCTATTGTTGGGGTTGGGCCATTCTGGGCCATGTCGCAGCTTATTCAAAGGCTTGAAAGACTGGACCCCGAGACGCAAACTGAGCCTAGTCTATGGGTATTTCCCCTTTTAATTGGTCTCTTTACCTTTTCTGAACAGGTTAGTGGTAATTCTCCGAGCCACACAAGACTATTTACAGTAGATCTATTTAGCGATCGATCAGCAACGCTAACGGTTGTACCTTTGTAGTGGATTGCCTCTCGAATCATGTGGCAGTCGATTAAGAACATCTTTGCACCAGTCAGAGGACAGTTATCTGCATTAATCTTTGCAAAGGCACTGCGCCGGAAAGATATCAAAGGAACCGCAGATGTAGGAGATCATGATGGGTCGCATGGTGCTGCCAATGCGACTGATAATGATGACGACACAACAAAACAGACCAGAAAGGCAAAGGCGCAGGAACAGGCAGAAGACCTTTCCAAGTCTCGGCAAGCCATTATGAATCTCATTGGAGTCGATGTCAAACACATTTCCGATTTTGCCATGTATCAAATCTTGATTGTAAGCAGCATCGGAAAGCTACTCGTCTTTTCTGCCTACCTGGTTCAAGTCATTGGCGCGGTGCCATTTCTAGCCGGCGCCGTTGCATGGGCCTCGCTGCTGCCAGTCAACGCCATTGCCTCACGACGCTATCTCAGTGCAGAGACAAAGTTGATGCGCGATCGTGACCAGAAGCTGGCCGTTGTCAGCGAAGCCGTCAATGGCCTCCGACGCATCAAATTCTCGGCCCTTGAGGCGCAGTGGGAGAGACGCATTCTCGCACGGCGACAAGAAGAGCTCAAGACGCTATGGCAGGTATTCCTGGCAAATACCATGGTGTTTTGCTGCTGGGTCACGAGTCCAATTTTCCTCTCGGCTGCGTCGTTAGCCACCTACACCCTGCTGAATGATCACTTGTCACCGGCAGTAGCCTTTGTCGCAATCGCCATGTTCAGAAGTCTCGAGGCTGCCTTGGCGGGCTTACCAGAGTTGGTGACGGTGGGCTTTGATACAGTCGTCTCCATTCACCGACTCGATGCTTTCCTACACGAGCCCGAGCTGCAGCCAACAATCACCAATGGCTCTCGCGTCGCTTTTGAGAATGCGACAATAGCGTGGCCGACCGACCTTCCCGCACCTTTGGCGGACGATTCCGACCACAAGGCCTTTACTTTGAGCGGCTTACACGCAGAGTTTCCTGAAGGACAGCTTTCTGTTATTACGGGAAAGTCGGGTACCGGCAAGACGCTCATGCTACACGCACTGATTGGAGAAGCCGAGCTGTACGGCGGCCACATTGTGATGCCAACCCCCCCCAAAGAGTCTCCGGCATGGAACTGCAACGGCGACCGAGTCGACTCGGGCGACTGGGTAGTCCCAGGCACAGTGGCCTACGTTGCGCAAACAGTCTGGTTGGAGAATACGTCTTTGCAAGGAAATATTCTGTTTGGTCTACCGTACGTGGCCAGCCGCTACAAGATGGTCATTCATGCGTGCGCCTTGGAGAGAGACATTGAAGCTTTGGACGATGGTGATGAGACTGAGCTGGGCGCCAACGGTGTCAATCTCAGCGGTGGACAAAAGTGGCGCGTCTCACTGGCCAGACTTTTATACTCGCGTGCGCAAATCCTTATCATGGACGACATCTTCAGCGCCGTCGACTCTCATGTCGGTCGTCACATCATGCAGCACGCTATTGCTGGAGACATTTGCAAGGGCCGGACACGTATCCTTGTCACCCACCATCTGGGCTTGGTCGCTGAAGAGGCTAGCTACTTTATCGAGCTTGGCAACGGCACCGTGCAGCATTCAGGCCCAACCTTGAGCGACTGCACTGGCGCTGGTCTCAGCGGTGGCACAACCACGCCAAAGTCGGCCTCGAGTGCTTCAAGCAGTATCGGACCCCGGCACTTTACCTCGGATACAATTGAAGGCGGAAGCGGCGCCAGTCAAGGAACTGAAAAGAAGGCCAAAAAGTTTGTCGAGGATGAGGCGCGTGAGAAGGGCGTGGTAAAGAGTCATGTCTACCACAAGCTAATTACTAGTGGCGGTGGCTGGCACCTCTGGATCCCGCTGCTTGTGTTGCTGACTATATTCGAGTCGTCAAACTTTGGTACGTCAAGTCACTCTGCGTATATTTCAAACCTTGGTACTGACTCTTCCTCGAGGCCGAAACTGGTGGGTGCGAATCTGGACGGCTTCTAGCCAAACCCAGACGCCAGCTGGAAACACGACAAGTTTGGCCGAATATCAGGCAGCGTATTTCCATCCTACGCTCATGGCATTCTATTCCTCCCCCGAGACATCCTCACCGAAAGTCTCGGAGCCGCATTCTTTGCTCTACTATCTAGGTGTCTACTTGCTTCTCTGCGCCGCGGGTGCGCTCGTCGGCAGTCTGCGCTTCTTCTGGTCATTTCTGATCAGCATCAGGTTCAGCAAAAAGTTGTTTGAAGACGTACTCTATACTATACTTCGCTCGCCGCTTCGATGGATGGACACTGTTCCTGTAGGCCGTATCCTGAACCGGCTGACCGCAGACTTTGACATCTTGGACAGCCGGCTGATGGAAGACATGACCATGGTGCTCGTCCACAGCTTCGAGCTCATTACCATTTGCCTGGCAGCTGTCGTCCTCTCGCGCATCATGATACCGCTGGCGGGGACACTCATCTTTGCCAGTGTTATTGTTTCCGCGCGTTATCTCGGCGCGGCGAGACCTGTCAAGCGTCTAGAGAGCAACGCAAAGTCACCAGTCTTTGAGACGTTTAATGCAGCGTTGGCGGGTGTGTCTACACTACGAGTCTACCGCAAGACGCAGGACTATACCCGTCGCATCCACGACGAGCTCGACGAATGGGGAACCATGACTCTGCACAACTGGTCGTTGAATCAGTGGATGACGTTTCACATGACCATTATCGGTACGATATTCACCACTGCCGTGGGATTGCTGGTAGTGGCCGATCCGACACACTTTGGCGCCAACCTCGCTGGCTTTGCCCTGTCCTTTGCCCTCAGCTTCGCCATGTCCATGTCCTTTGCCATGCGCAACTATGCCACAATGGAGCTGGACATGAATGCGGTAGAGCGCATCGCCGAGTATGCCGAGCTGGCCACTGAGGATCTAACTGGCGACGAGCCGCCCGAGCACTGGCCGCGCAACGGCACAGTCAAGGTCGAGCACCTGCAAGCCGCCTACGCCAGGAGCCTGCCTCCGGTATTGCGCGATGTTTCTTTTGAGATATTCGACAAGCAACGGGTTGGGATAGTAGGCCGTACAGGAGCGGGCAAATCCTCGCTTACTCTGGCGCTGTTTCGACTAATAGACACGCGAAGCGGCAGAATCGTCATTGATGGCATCGATACCTCGACTCTCAATGTTCAGACCCTGCGATCACGTTTGTCAATCATTCCCCAGGTAAAGCAAACTAAGTTTTTTTTTTTTTTTTTTTTCTTTTTCTTTCTCTTTTCGTTTTGCCCTAATAGCTGATTCTGACGCTTATGAACGTAACTACAGGATCCCGTTTTGTTTTCTGGCACCATACGCAGCAACTTGGATCCATCCAACCAGCACAGCGACGAGGAGCTTCACAGCTGTCTTGCCCGCGTGCACCTGATTGACTCTGACAGCGACCGAAGCATCACCGCCGAAAGCATGAGCGGCAGCGACGCAGACGACGAGGTGTCCCCCACCCCGCAAAACAATGTCAACATCTTTGAGCGGCTCTCCAGCAAGGTGTCTGAAGGCGGCGGCAACCTGTCCCACAGCCAGCGACAGCTGGTCTGTCTCGCCAGGGCCATTCTGTCGCGTCCCAGACTACTCGTGCTCGACGAGGCCACGTCGGCTGTGGACATGGCTACAGATCGCCTCATCCAGCGCAGCATCCGAGACGGCTTCCACGACACCACGCTCATTGTCGTTGCGCATCGTCTGCAGACGGTGGCCGACTTTGACAAGATACTCGTGCTGGACGACGGAAAGATTATCGAGTCGGGCGCGCCGTGCGAGTTGTGGGAAAAGCCTGGCGGCGGCGCTTTTCGCGAATTGTGTGAGCAAAGTGGCGAGGCTTTGCAGCTGAGAAATATAATCTATGCCAAGAATGCGGAATAAGAAGTCACTTACACAACGCCATCTCATTCATCTCTTTGTTTTATAAAAGTCTATTTACTTTATTTGTTTGTATACTTTCTTCTTCATCTCGCTTGGAATATTTTGTACTAGCTCCTTAATCCGTCTAGAAGGCCGTTTAAAATTCATGTTGCTACTACACACTGCCTAGGTCCATAGAGGTACCTATAGCCTCTGCGTCACAGTGGTAAGCACCAAGCCGCCACTACCCAAGAGTCAGAACAGCCGCGAGTTTATCCTGAGCCTCCATTTAGTGTTCAAGGAAGATTGAGAAAAACCTCGAGCATCTTGTCGTATTTCGGCGTGCCCATGCCGGTAGTGGGATCCCAGCCAGCAGTAGCATTGAAGCCCTTGCCGTTGCACAGGGCACCACTATTCATCCCACCCTTGACGACATCGTTGAACATTTCCCGGTGCTTGTAAATGGTGGGATTTATGAACCCAACAGGGCCCTTTCCAATTTTGATCCGCTCCTCGTTAATCAGGTTCACCATGGCGCCAATGATGGGCGCACTCATCGAGGTTCCGCCCGTATACAGGATCTTTTGCTGATACACGATGAAGCCAAAATCGCCTGCAGCGGCCAAGTCGGGGTATCCGCGTCCCACACCGTTGTACAAGCCGCCGCTCTCGTAGGGGATTTTTCCATCAATGGTGCTGTAGTTTGCGTAGCCAGGGTCGTGGGATTCAAAGTACCTGTGTTGAATGTCAGTCGCGAATACGGCACTATACTATATATACTACCGCCCTCGCCGCGGGACTCTGCATCACCCAAGGCCGCTGTGATGATTTACTTACCGGCTCACTGCGTCTTTCTGGTACTCGGGCCGAGGAAAGATGTTCGAGAAGCCTCCACCAGGCGAATACCAATAGGAAACCATTTCTTCATCGCCGGCATCGCCGCCTTTGACAATGGCCGTAGAACCGACCGAGGTCATATACGGACATGACGACGCCTGATCTGCTGTAAAGACATCTCCGATTTCGCCCAGACAGCCTTCCTCGGCAACGCCTTTGTCGCCGCTGGCGAGAAACATCGAGGTTCCTTGCAGGCCCAGCTTCATAAACTCGTCACACTGGCGCTGTAAATAAACCCTGTCAGCATCTGCACCGGATCCCGGGCGGAAACACTCTCAAAAAACCTTTTGATAGCTCACTGGGTAGTCCTTTTCAGGAAAGCCATATGAGATGCTAACCACATTGGTTCGATTAAAGACACCGCATTGACGCACGGACGGCACGCCGTCAACTTCGGGATCATCTCCGCCCATGTAGTCACAGTAGCTCCCATCAATCGCGTCGAGGAAAAAGTCGAAATAGTTATGGGGGTGGGACTCGTCATATTCCGTCTGAAAGTCGACAATCTGCTGTGGCCAAATGAGCGGGTACGCCATCTGGTAATCCAACGTCGCCTCTGTCCCTGCCTCTTCCAGAGTACCGTTGGCGCGGTCGTGGCCAATAACGTTCACTTCTGGGTGGGTGCCATTGGGAATCTCAGGTGCCATGAGCGTAAAGTACCTGTCCAGATCTTCCTGTGCATATTTCTGATTTTCCGACTGATAGATGCCCATCTTGTTGCTTGGGTCCGCGAGAGTACCGACTGGGATGTTGTACATGGCGCGAAGGCATTTTGGCGTGACAACTTCGGAGCATTTCTTTGCGTTTCCTGGCAGGTCAATAGAATTAGCTTTCAATCGACCAAGGATAGTTGAAATAAAAAAACCCTGCATTCTTACCTTTGTCGTCTGTCCAGCCGGACCCGCTGGGTGTCCTTGGCAGTGATTTGACATGACTACGGCGAGCAAGCTTGTTTCCTCCACTGACGGAGCGTCTGCGCAACATGGCCAGCCCGGGCACGACAAAGTCGACGACGTTGGAAATGTCATGGGGAAGACTGTATTCGTCCGTGCCAATGTGCTCCAACTCGCTTCTGGGGTGGTGATAGACATGATACCTTGTCTGAAGAATGTTTTCGAGTTTGTCAATCGTCGTTGAAAAATGGACGGACCCTCCGCTTTTGGGTACGACAACAGAGTCGTCAGAAATTCCAGAGTCGGCAAGCCAACGCTTCACAGCATCCACAGACTCATCAGCGGGCTTGAACAGCTCCACGACCTGCTCAGCAGTGTAATGCTTTCCGAAATTGGGAGAGTCAGGGTCAGAACTAGATGTCAGTTGTAAGTATGCACATGTAGTTTGAGTTTATGTCCTGGCACTTACACGTCCATGAGGTAGTCCATGCCATTTTCCAGATTGCGCTGCTTCAAGGCAACTCGCACTTGAATGCGGTCATTAGCCGGCATGGCGTCACGCTTGACAAAGTTACTTTTGCCATTAGTCTTGCGACTTTCGTGGACAACATGGCGTATCTGAGCTGAAGGCGCAGCAGTTGCCGAAGCTGCTAGACTCAGCAAGTAAATTGTGGTCAACTTCATAATGAGACGATGAATAGAGACCTTGTAGATACTATTGGACTTGATTTATGAAAGCTTGTCACACCCTCTTCAAATTTGAATGCCGAGTGCGGTTGTCCCTTATAACCACATTGCAGTAGTTCATTGCCTTGCCAAGCGGCATTTTACCAGCATCGGCGTAATAACTCAATCGTATGATGGATCTAAGAATTATGCCCATCTACTGCCCGATGACGCGTCAATACGAACTTGGTCCCTGTTAGGAAGGTAATGGGGCAGTGGTAAGTTGAGGTCCATTAAAGCAGGATTAATTCCACTTTACTAGGAGTAATGGTCGAAATGGTCACAATGACAATGGTATCCTCAAAACTAGCGTTTCAGATCAACATGCCCGGCCCAATCGAAACTTGAACAACGAATTACAAGTGTTGAACTGGTGATGACGCGGCAATGCGAAGTGGGTTCATAGTAACAAGGTTAAAGGGAGCTTAAGATGGTGCGACTATAACAAGGTAGGGATCGTTGTCTTTTTACCGCGTATCATAGGTGGTAAAATGTGTGGTAGCGGCAAGTCTTCGTTTAGGTTCTAAATTAACCGCCGGGATTTACTTTCGATCTTTGGACATCTATTGAGGACAAAGTTAGCCAACCCACTTCATTATCACGGCATAACTGCGTCTCGCAACCAGGCTGGCCAGAGTAATTCAGTAGTAAATTCATGTTGCCAAACTCAAATTATATGTGCCGTATTTTCGATTTACACATTAGAATACTCGCGACCAATACGCCCAAATTTGCATATCAAAAGCTAAACAAAACTATATAGCTTAGCTAAAGCTGACGGAAATCAGAACGAAGAAAGAGAAGCACTGTCAGAGTGAGTGCCACGCACGAGTCTGCTGAGGGATTTCTGTGAGCTGATTTTAGACTGTCGTCGTTGTTTCTGTCCACGGATCTTGCGCAAGCACTCGCCAAGTCCGCTGAAACGCGGCCCGTCCCACTGTCGATTTCATCGATCCGTCGTCGCATATATCTCTTCTGTACGGAGACCATGGTATGATCCTGTCCAAGTAAAGGCAACTTAATTTCCGTTAATCCGTACCATGAGAGCTATTAACGGGAGTATCAGGGTTATAGTAGTGTGTTCCACCCCATTATTTTGGCTCTAGTTGCCTCGTTGTTGCTCGTCAACCTTCTTGGTCGCGGTGGCTAAGTATTAATCGTTTTAGCGCGCTGGCTGCTAGCGGAACGAGGTTACCTGCCAAAATGAATGGCCACTGTAGCGGTTTTCTTGATCTAGAAAACAGGCTGGAGAATTGACAAGTTTGACAAGAATATCGCAGCTTGCGTGTACAATTGGCTTATAGCATGGATGATATGACATATATGACTTGGACTCTAACTATTACCAGGTACGGAGTACTGTGACTGCTGCTGCAAGCGGGGAGCCAGCGGGCCCTCGGCATCACGTCAATGCTTGAGTATTAGAGGATAGTGAATAACTGGTACGAAACAAACCACACCAAAAAGCAGTTGGAAAGTCAGTACTGCAAATCCATGTACCAGTATTCGTATAGTCACAGTCACTGAACACAGCTGTCTACTCTGTGACACGCCTGCGCTTCTCTTTATTACAACGGTCAAGAAGTGGGCAATTCGGATTGTAGGGTGGCACAAGCAATGGATTGGGGAGTTCCTCGTAACTAGGCCTTGTGCCAGTGACGAAATCAAACCAGTTTCTCAACAAAGCCCAAAGTCCTGAACTCAACTCTCAACAATGATTCCCTTGTCAGACGCTGTCGCTGCTTTAACATCCTAGACATTCGCAACGATGCTCATTATACGTACGTAATCCGTACAAAGCACACTCCCTCCCTGCTTATTAGGCATTGTGTCAGACATTCGAATTTGTATATGCAAGCCCTGGCCGGGCCGGCCCACGCACCAGGATCCGTGAGCTAGTCCGAACCAGATCTAACAAGTTGTTGTTTCTTTTTTCCCGCGACACGCAGCGACGCTACGAATAGATTGCAGTAACGAAACACCGACGAACCGAGTCTCATTGGCGATAGTCCACATAATGACCCGCCAGCCAGCCGGTCTTTATAATTCCTCGAAGCAATACCTTGTCCACTGGTAACTAATTCCCCGCTAGCTGACATGGTTCAACACGGCGTCGTTGAAGACTGGTAGTCGGTCCGCTTTTCGTGTCAAACTCGGCGCACGCCCCGGCTGCTGTACATTCCTCCGGGGAAGAGAGGCAGCAGAGGATTCAAATGAGACATGCAGCTATGGCGGATTCTGGTATATGCGCATTCCCAGGAATCGGCGACGGGCCGTGCAACGCCTCTCAGCCAATTCTGCCGGCACACGGACATACTGGCAACTGGTAATTAATATATGAGGCTGAGTGCTGATCCGCACCTACTGTGCACGCCCATGATGCCCATACCAAGTACGGATACTCGTTCGCCTTGCACATCTGCAGTCCAATATATCGGGCAGCCATGTACCGAGTACACTCCCAGTCTCCCGCAAACAACCGCTTATTGTGACAGCCAGTGGCACACTTTTGACCATCTCCAGTCCTCAGCTCTGCGTTATATGGTGCATGGTAGTGTTTCTCTTCGGCACCTCTAGTCCGTACTGATAAGTTGTCATATTGCGGCTACTCCATACGGATACACCTGGCTAGATGCCGACAACAGCCCCTTGCCTCCCCCCAGTTGCCGACAGCATAATCTTACCTAAGACCAGCCTCCAACAGATGAAGATGGATTTTTCATGGTGCATCATTCGCCTGTCTTTTTTTTGTTTTGCTGATTCGTCGGTGACGAGAGGATGCCGTCAACAAAGCAAAAACGAGCCAAGGATCACCATAGTGCTGGAACTTGGCGTCAATCAGCCGTGCCCAAGTTTCAGCGTCCCGAATTCGGTCCGCCGGCCGCGGCGAGCCGGTACATCCAAAAAGGCCTTGTTTTTTTTTGGCGCAGAAATTGTTGAGAAATCAGATTGCGTTGGAATGCAGCTAGTCCTGCACTATGTTTACTGTTTACCGCTTTCCTAGGCCTTCTTCACCAAAACGCCCCAAAATCTGGGCAAAAATGTGAGCGGATCGTCAGTCTCCTCGACATTTTCAAGGCCCTCCCACTCGCCTGCAGCCAAGATGGCACCGCGGATATCTCTGTTCATGTTGCAGCCCACAAATGTGCTCCAGGCAGGATTCCAAAGTGCTGTGTATCAGTTAGCCACTATGCTTATTATAATTGACATGCCGGTGCGCAACGTACTCTGCCCGATTGAGGTCAAGGTATCCCTGCTCTTGCCATGCTCCCAGAAAATGAACTGTCCGCCGGGCTTCAACAGTTTCCACACTTCCTTCATGATGGCACGAGGGTCGTTGACGGCACACATGACCTGAATGCTCAAGATTGTATCCAGACTGCCCTCGGTCACTCCTTCTGCCCGGAGGATGTCGCTGTCCTCGACGCCGCACACGACAAACTTGTAACGGGACTCGAGAGCGCTAGCCTGCAGCTTCAGGGCAATGTCGTCATTGAAGTTGGGGTTTGGATCGATGGCGCAGATGGATTCCACAAGATCAGGGTCGAATCGATGAATCTGGTTGCCTGGACCCGGGCCAAGCTCGAGGATCTTGCCTCGGGCCTGCTTGACCAGAGACGGAACCACGGTGGTGCTTTCATATTCGATGAAACCCTCCGCTGAAGCAATGCTGGTCAGTAAAGGGATTGAAAGCCGCGACACAGAGTGTAGCCAAGGTATTCTCACAGGTCTCGCTCAAGAGGCTAGCCACGCCATATTCAAGCTGCTTTGTCGGATTCCACAAAGCGGCAAATCCACGAGTGCGAAAGGCTTCCTTGAAAGTAGCCCAATGAACTGTATCGTACTGTTAGCTCGTCTCTCAGGAGACCGCCACCGCCACCCCCTCCATTCGCGTACTCGTGATGGCGGGCCAGAGAAGCATCAGCGGCGACCAGAAGCTGTTGAAACGAGTAGGCTTTGGTGGTGGCATGGTCACGGACGTGTATCGTTGGCAATTGTCGGATTCTAGATACTCGTTCTGGCGGATATTTCGATGAAGGGGGGGCTGGAGTCGATCAAGTGTGGGCGAAGGATTGCGGGGAAGGGCGGTTGATGCAAAAAACAAACACGTCGTGTAACCCCAGCCTCTGTCAACACTTGTCTTGGTATGGCGTCACGTGCGGCCGCTCGGCATGCAAGAAGTTATTACCGGACACTACAGCAGACGCCTGCAAGTTTGACGCTTTGTCGATTGGTTCTATGTAGATGTATTACACTGATATTCCTCTAGGATGCCCTCTGGGCCGACTGCATGGCATGCCTCTGCTTTAAACCGTGGTCCTTGATGAACAGACAGAGGCATAGATGGATTACAGCAAGCACCGCAAACGTGACATAGATCACTTTGAGACTATTCATATAGGCACCAGAGATCAATCTTCGCTCCGAGTCGGTCAAGCCCAAGTCTTTCAACGCAAAAGCAGAAGACGTTAGCCGGGCAATCATCTCGGGGCTGAAGCGGTGTTGTAATTGTGCAAACAGCAGATTGCTTAGGGTAGTACCGGAAACTGGACAAAAAATCGGATTAGCTGACGTAGCATGCAAAAAAGGTATGATAGCCTTGTAAGCGGAGGATAAATCATACCTGTGGTGCCTGTTGCGCCACCCAAATCGCGGACGAAATTACGTAGACCGGTCAGAACCGCTCGGTTTTCGGTATCGGAGCCTGCAAGCAAGCCAACAAGTACTTGCAGTAAACGGCAACGTTAGTGGATTTATCCAGAGAGTTATGCGATCGAGAAAATGACGAGGAGCAATTACCAGGCTGGAGAGAGCAGCCGACCCCTAGTCCGTCCAAGACGCCCACGAGAGCTACTTTCCATATTTCGGATGTTTGGTTCAAGAATAATTTGCCCAGCGCAGCCGAAACCCAACAGAAAGCACCAAAGACAATGACTGGCTTGTATCGACCCGTGGCCGATATAATGATGCCTGTCAGGGCCGAAGTAAGCCCATGGGCCACTACCATGGGCAGCAGCAGAGTTCCAGCGCGAGCTGGACTTGCCCCCTGAACATTTTGCAAGTAAAGAGGCATGAGAAACAGGTTTCCCCAGTATATCCAGCCTATAATTATGTTGGTACCGATGAGAATATTTGTCGACCGTCCATATTGAAAGAGTTGTGCGGGTAATAGAGGCAGTTTCGCGAACCGCCACTCAATTGTCAGGAATACTCCTAGTAAAACCACTCCAGCAGAAAGCATGCTTATGGTGGCTGGAGAATTCCAATGTAGCCTCGAGCCGCCGAGAGCAATGGGTACCTGTTGATTTCTTCTGTCAACGCTTTTTGTTATAAGACTTGGCTGGCCATTGTCGTAATGCTCACAAGAATCAACGAAATGCCCGCCAGGCTAACCACAGCACCTGGCCAGTCAATCAACTTCAGCCTGCTGCTAATGTTTGAACGCCCCGCATCATATCTTGGTGTAGATGGCCACACGGAAGACAGATAAGCTATGGCAGCCAGGCACAACGGGCAGACAAACCAAAACGCCCAGCGCCACCCAAAGGACTGGGTGAGGACGCCGCCGACGACCGGTCCCAAGCCGTTGCCAAAAGCCACAGCCATGCCCACCATGCCGAAATAGTAGCCGCGCTGCTCGAGCGTGGTAATGTCGGCAATGGCAATCTGCACCAGTGCGTTGATGGCTCCCGCGCCAAAGCCCGTGCAGGCGCGCGAGACGAAGAGCTGCAGCGGCGTGGTGCAGAAGCCGCTCCACAGGTTGCCGGCGCCCATGATGCACAGCGCCGTCACGAGCGCGGCCTTGCGCCCGAAAATGTCCGACAGGCGTCCATTGATGAGCTGGATGCTGGTGCTCGTGATGAGGAAGCTCGCGCCCACGAGGGAGATGGACGCTCCCGTGTCCAGCGCCGAGGCAATGGCTGGCAAGCTGGTGGAAATGGCCGTCTGGTCTAGAAACGAGGTGAATTGAATCAGAGCAAGAGCAGGAAAAACGGCCAGTAGTCGTTTTTTTGACAGTGCGTGGGACTGGTTGCGCAACAGCAGAGGCGTGGTCTCGTCCATGGCGCCAGACGTCTTGATGCTGCTTTCAACTAACACTTGTCACAACTGTCGTGATATTCAGCAGTCTTTTGTAAAAAAAAAAGTCGCTGACAATATTTCTTGGTGTTCCAAGTGTATGTGCTTTTTGGCGGCTGAAGAAGTATCGGCAAGGTATTCGTCGGGCAGCCCCAAAACCTGGCGTCGCCTTGTCTCGGTCATGAGAGATTGGATAGTTACCGCTCCCCTGTACTGCGCAAGCCCGCCCTACAGTCTACAGTTGAGCAGTTCAGGAGGCCACCCTTCTGAACACACTATACATCGCAACCAGATAGTACATGGATTTTCCGAGTCTGGCCGCTCTCTGTAACTACGCAGTAGTCTCGCCGCGTATAGGCCAATTTGCTTCTGATTCCTCTGAAGTCATTTTTCTCTACAATGATACTGAACATTTGAGGAAAATCAGTCGTTTTTTTCGATAAGACTAGAAACCAAGGCCCATTTTCCCTAGTTGACATGTTTGCGGCCACAAGCTTGCCAATCTGCCTCCCCTATACGCCTTGAAGCGGTCCTTCTAATATAGACGCACTTGAGGATTTATATCTAGCACAATTTTCTTTCAACTTTTTTGCTCGATCTCCTGACTCATGCGAATTCCTTCACTTGTTATCAACCGAGATTTCCAGGGCAACTCTCAGCTTACGCCCTGCTGACTAGGCACCTCATTCACGCTGAGGACAACTAAATTAGGCGACGTATAAGTGTCGAGAAATACTAGCAATTGATGAGTCCGGTCCACCGACGCCGAAAACCACGCAATTAATGAAAAACATTGCGTTGCAAATGTTAATAATCTAACCAAATACATGGCAGGAGAAGCACAGTATAAATGCTAGTCTCGTGGAAACGGAATCGCATCCCAACGTATCCGACGCAGGTGACGGTCTGGGTCCTTGATATGATTACGCGCGTGTAACCAACGCCTATTATCCATCAATATAATTGTACCAGACGGGCAATCGCTTGCCGTTAGATGGACAGTAGACTTTGCAGCCACGCCAGATGTGCCATCAAGCAGCGTGTCCAACTCGTGCAGGGCCGCAGCCGCCGCGGTAGTCTGAGGTTTCAGCAGATCGCGCCGATATCGCATCATGGTTGTTGTTGAGCCGCTTGTCTGACCAAAAGCCATGATGTTGCCCTCAATCTTTGTCTGAGAGACATCCTTGATAAACTCTGGGGGAATAGTAATCGTGTACTCATTGCGTCGTAGAGACTGTCGAGCCTCGGGCGACAGAGCCTCGCCGAGCTTTTCAATGTTCATGGCAGACAGAGTGCCCCCTCCGTGTCGGTCGTGCTGCAGCACATGAAGACCAAAGTAGCGCGGCGGCGAGGCCTCGTAGCTGCAGTCCGTGTGCCAGGGAAAGTCTTCCATGGTCTCGGAGCGCGCACGATGGTTGGCCGTCTGGAGCGGAATCAGCGTTCCATTGCTCGGACGAACGTCCCAGAACCAGCCCTGCGATGCGCTGTGGGTGATGGGAAGCTGATGACCGTGGTTTTTGTTGAAGCTGCAAACCAATTTCTCGAGAAAGCTGCTCTTTGGGTCTGAAAAGTCGAGCTTAATCTTGGCCATTCCACTGCGCTCCAGTGCTTGATGTACATTGGCCACGAACCGTGGCTCCGTGGCGCTCAACGGGTCAGTGGCCTGGAATTGTATTGTTGATGGCCTCTCATGGCTGTCTCTTTTCGTTTGCACCGTTGAAAAGGAGCAACTTCGTATAAGTGCAGGTTGGTATAGCACAGGCCGCTTGGTAGGAAGTCGGGCGGTGGCTCTGCATAGTCGCGAGGACGAATTGGCCACATTCATTGTGCATAGAGAACTGAGATTGACATGTAGGTGACGGCCCCTCTTCTCTCTCTCTAAACAGATTGCGTACAATTTCGTCTTCTTGTTCAATCATAGCGCCCGATTAATACTCTGTCCGTGACGTGCACGGAGTACATGCACCGTGGACAAGAAAAAGAAAGGTACGTAGCTTTTCCTCTCACCTTGTCGCCAGCTGAAGCACAGGGCCACCTTTTCCATTTGTCTCAGTCTAGCTGCAGCCACTTTCCATATTAAATAGTAGTCGAGACATGCACTGATCAACGACAGCTTTCCACAAAAGACCAATAAATTTGCAGACATGGACAGTGCACCGCCAGCGGAGGATGGGGGAGTGGCCGCACATTGCAGACGCCTTGCCGTTGTTTCTCGCTGCACCCCTCTAGCAGGGACCAAGTCACGTCCATGTTACTAGTTTTCACCGAGCTATGAAACATGCATGAGAAGCTCAACACTGGATCATTTTATGCTGTCATCGTCCGCCCCCCCCGATAACGTTGCTTCAGCGATGAATACGACTCGCTGCGTCGTCAATCTTCTGAAACTGACCAAATAGCTTGCATCTCTTGTTTTCAGGGTGCGCAGATTGGCAGATACCTTCAATTGATCAGGAATGCATCGATCCTCCCCCCTCTCAGCGAGCAAAGAGGTGGGCGAATTTGCTCCAGCTCCAGCTCGCCCATGTCCTGAGCACAGAATCAACACTTGGTTGAAAAGATTCGTTCTCGTTTCTTTCGCAGTCTATCTATGCGCTCAATTGTCTACACTCTTTCCCTTCCGAATCTCTATTCCAACAATCTCGTGTTCCTCATTCGACTTGCACAAAACACTATTGTCTATTCCCTCGGCAGAGCGAGCACGCGAATGGAGTGCCTATTACACAAACACTAGTCATCTTGCAGGAGAGGGTTGGGAACAGGCTAAATGGACGCAGGCAAAGTGGAAGGAATTTGGCATTCCACAAGTCGAGATTGCATCTTACGACGCTGACCTTCCCGCACCACGAGCCGAAAACCAGCGTGTGGCCCTTCTTCAGGGCGACGAGGTGCTCTATGAAGCGCCGCTGGTGGATAATACCAATGCCAGCTTCGCGCCAGCCTATTTTGGCTTTTCTGCCAACACTAATATCACGGCCAGATTCGTATACTGCAATTTTGGCAGCCAAGAAGACTTTGACGAGATTGCACGATCCGGTATCAGTGTTGTCGGCAAGATTGGTATATTGAAGCTTGCCAATGCGTCACCAACGCTCCAAGCGAAGGGGCTGGAAATCTTTCGTGGTATCCAGCTTAGCAATGCGGAAAAGGCAGGCTTACTCGGAGTCATTTTCTACACCGACCCTCAAAATGATGGCACAATTACCGAGGCGAATGGATACAGGCCATTTCCTGGCGGTATCGCACGCCCGCTGACTGGAATCGAGCGAGGCGGTTTTGGCAATTCTGGTATGCTTGTTTCGTGACCATGTATGACAATATGACTTTTGTAACTAATTGGTTTAACGCAGAGGACTATCATGAAGGGTTGCTACCCAAGATCCCTTGCATCCCTGTGTCTGCCCTTGACGCGGTTGAACTCATCAAGGCGCTCAATGGAATCGGTCCGTCGGCCAGGAAGATCGGCGGTCGTTGGCTCGGCGGCGCACTCTACGTCCGTGGCGTTGGCTACCATGTCGGACCTTCTCCTGAGCACCTTACCATCAACTTGGTGAATAATGCTCCCATTGTCCCCTTAAAGAGCCACAATGTCATTGGCACGATTCCGGGCCAACTTGACGACGAAGTCGTCATCATCGGCACCCACCGTGACGCTTGGGGTCCCGGAGCAGGCGATCCCGGCAGCGGTTGCGCGGCCATCAACGAAGTCGTCCGCAGCTACGGGAGTGCGTACCAGCAGGGATGGCGACCGCTCAGAACGATTGTTTTTGCCAGTTTCGAAGGCGAAGAGTTTGCCCAGCTCGGTTCTCTGCTGTGGATCAAAGATCACTTGAAGTGGCTCAAAGCCACCACTGTCGCGTACCTCAATGTTGTTGTCGCCGCGTCTGGATCTGTGTTTCACGCCAAAGCTAGCCCTCTCTTGCATAGAGCTGTCTGGAACGCAACTGCTCAAGTTCAGTCTCCTATAGTGCCAGATCAATCGATTCTAGACGTATGGGGCGGCTCCATTGCTCCGGCCGGCGGCGGCGATGCCGTTCGCTTTCAAGGCCTGCCCTGCATCGCGACTGTGGATATTGGCTTCTCTCCCGGCTTAGGAGATGCGGTTTTCTCGTATCATACTGGTTTTGACAACTTTGCGTGGATGGACCGCATCGGCGACCCCGGCTGGAAGCAGCACGTTGCCAGCGCCAAGCTGATGAATCTCATCGCGGCGTACATGATCGAGTCCCCAGTCATCAATATGAGCGCCCGGGACTACTCCGGCGAAATACAAACGTGGCTGGACCTTGTGCGCGAGCTCGGTAAACGGTCATCTGAAGTTGATCTCTCCGGGTTGATGGCGGTTGTAGAGAGATTTGCACGGGCAACGGCGCTCTTCGACCGCTATGCCGATACTCTTAGAGCAGCCCCAGGATCGTGGTGGAATGCCGCACGGAGCTACACGAGTGCCCAAAGTCTACTAACCAAAGCTGTTCGGGGAGTGAACAAGGTCTATATAGCCTTGGAGCGTGAATTCTACTACGAAGCCGGTATGGATGGGTACCACGGCCTTCACCACGTCCTTTATGCACCAGCAGCCTGGCACACCATCGCAAACCCGATGCCTGGTCTGGACAAGAGCCTACGAGAAGGAGATTGGGAGAATGCCAAGGTGAGTGTGACTCAATTCTCACGGACTAAATGCTGACATAAATCGTTCTTTAGAAATGGAGAGACGTGTTGATTGACAAGATTGGCAATGCTGCGAGGTTGCTCGAAGATCATCTCGCAACAGTTGGACAGAATTAGCTGCTGGCTGTTGGCCCAAATGTGCGACTAGAGGACAAGCCTAGAACTTGGCAGATGAACAGTATAATCTGGTAATATGTTCTAACCCCCTGCATTTACTCTTCTTCTACACGTGAGCACGAATGACAGAATGGTCCCGCGAACTTGCCGATTGAGCCAAATTTTCAGAGTCAAGTCTTTGCAACAGCTCTCTACCAGGGTCGGCAAAGAGAAAAAAGCCTGAAGTTTTGACTAGTGAGATGATGTAGAAGAAGCTAACGGTGACCAAGTATGGTGCTATTTTGCGTTAGTGGGCGGATATCTTGTGCTACGCGTGCGCCAACAAGATCAATGCCTTTGACAGCGACCAGAATTGCTTACATACACCCACTAGACTGGGAATGCAGCACGATGCTGTGGTGGCCTGCAGGGCTGACCTGAAGATTCGAGCCCTCGATGGTGGCCAGCTACTAGGCCGCCCCCCGCAAGAAATACGCCACTTTTGTCGGCTTCAACCTCTGGCACAAACAGGTGACTGCCTAGATAGCTACAAGCAAGCAGCTTTCACATCACCAATTAGCTCTTAGTGATGCATATCACCAAATCCGTTGAGGGTTTTATTCAAAAAATCCAGCAAGATAGGATTCAAGCAAAGGCACATCACCTATATCTATTATAAACTTTGGCGCTACGGAGCTGCAACGGCCGGCAGCGTAAACCCTTGTGAGCAACAGAACAAAAAGATCCACCAAGGTAGCCGAAGAGGCCAAACATCCCCAACTATCGCAAGGTCCGTGACGCCAAAAATCTTATTTAACAGACCTAGTGCTTCGCCACTGCATTCCGATAAAGCCCTCGTCCTTGTCCATCACGAGAAGATCTATTTCGTCAGCCTGATGTGTAGCCGCCACACTCTGGAGAGCCATTCACTCTAGAAAGATCCCCCATCCCTCGCAAAAAGACTCGATGAGGCCATTATCAGGCCCTACTCAGTATAAAATTTACGTGACGGTGAGTTTGGTGGCGTTTATGGCTGCTTTGAGGCTAAAAGCTTAACCTTGACATTGACTTAGTAGGCTATAAAAGGTCGCGGACGCCCGGAAAAAAAAAAAAAAAAAAAAAAAAAGAACCAAACAGATAGCCAGAAG